TGTGTGTGGGGTAACCTAAGACGCCCGGGTTTAAAGTCTTGGTTGTGGCAGTAAAGTGTGTACTGGGGGTTAGTGTAGAAGGGATTGTAGAGGTTAATTGAGTGGTTGCTGAGACTAACAACAGGTAACCATGGGTCTGGTGTCATTAACCCTGTCACTTCCGCACTCTCCCCACTGTCTCGGCTGGGCCTATAGCCCACGCTCGTGACAGTGTCCCTTTAAGGGATCTGCCTGAAAACCCAGCAGTCAGTTGTTAGGACGTGTTATTCCGCCCTACCTGTTTTAAAGCCTTTCTTTAAATGGTTAGAGAAAATGGTTAAAAAATGGTTAAAGAAATTTTATGTAGCATTCACACTGCGAGTTTACTCATTAAAGTATGAATCCATCCTGGCACATTCGGACAGCAAAAATTTTCCCTGACAATGTAAGTAGTCAAACCATGTTAGAGTGCTTTGCCTATCGTCTGCCAGGCACCGTTCCCTGTCTCCACTCAGCTCCTGTTTAGGGCATCTAATCCCATTCAGCCATGAGCTAAGCTCTGCTCTGTTATAAAATCGCATGACTAAAGCATAAGCTCAGAGGTAACACTACCAAATTCTGCAAACAGAAAATCTCCTATATAGCACTCTCAGAGATCGTAAAGCCATTCTGTCACTTTTCAGTATTTCATAAAGGTATAATCTTTATGAAATACTAATCAAGACTGCATTAAAACGTCATTGAAATTCCAATGCGATCCAAAGATATCATAAAGCAAAGTAGAGATACTTTGTCTCATTGTAAATCCTGAGGTTGACAAAACGTGGAGCTCCGCCACCAACTTCTGTCCAGTTCCAGCAGTCACAAATGATGTCTGTGGAATTTAGTCTCTGTCTATGGAGGAAACCCCGGTCTCGCAGGATTCCCCATAGACCTCAGTGTTGTACTCTCGTTCACTGGAGTCCCTCCTGCCACTGAAGCATTTGGAGCTGAAGAGGACCTGCAGCGTGAAGATGGTGGTGGCCGAGAGGGACAGTCTGTAGTTAGTAAAATTCACTTCATCTTTACCCTGTAGCCACCACACCCACCACCACATGCAAAATATGCAAAGCTCCCCGAAATTGACATATCCGCTTTAAAGCCAGTTTTATTACAGTAATAAACTGCCTGATGGGGGCAGCTGTATCATTTTTATGACATATAGGCCATTATATATTATTATAATACCATCAGTATTCATAAACCACTCTATATGGTGAACAGCCCCCTTGCCCATCCTAGATCACTCTATAAAATGAAAATAAACTCTCAGCTATCAACACCAGGGTACTGTTCTTAGGAAGGACAGCTCAAGCACATTACTAAACGTGATTACTCTGAATGGGCACTAGGACCATGCAGAGAACGCTTCAGCAGCACTCTCTACATGGTTCAAGTCCTATATGTTTGAGTCAGGCCAGACAGGCTGTTGATCAGCCTAGCGCGCTTGATACCAGGCTTACATGGCCCATCAGTAGGCTGGCCTTCTCAATATCCATATGAGCACACCCATTATGGCCATTGACTGAATGTAAATACAGCAAGAAAATATCCATGACACACATTATTGATATAAGGATTTGGGGCTGGAATTACCCTCTCTGCTGCCCAAAGGCCAGTTTCCTCAATGCACCCCAGCCTGTTATTTATATATATATATATATATGGAGCTTATGGGATTGGACGAATGCAACTAATTTGGAGTATGTGGTTGAATGTGACTAATTTGGCGTATGAATGTGGGGTAATTATGACTAGGGTGGGTGAATGGCAATAAGTGCAAGGTGGATGAATGTAGGTAACGTTACATGGCCAAATGTGTGAATGTGAAAGAGTGAGTGGGTATGACTGTAAATGTGACGGGGTGAGTGGGTATGACGGGAAGGTAAGATGGGACTATCTGACTGGCAGGATAGGGGAATATAATCAGTTCGGAGTACATGGCTGAATGGCAATGTGTACGTAGGAACATATTTGTGTGAAGTGTTAGTGAATGCATGTGACGTGTTTGCCTCTTGCAAGTTTACACATGGACTTTGGAATTTTATATTTACTACTTGTTCTTTGTTTGTTTGTTTTAGTGTTTTAATATTCTAATTAGTCTTTGAGGGAACCCCATTTTTTTAGGTTTGCTGACGCCTTTTCTTTTCTATTTGGTTGTATAGCGCTGATCCTTCTGTTTGCTGTTTGCAGCCCAGAAGGTGAAAACAATGCAGGTGAACAGGAAGGAGGTGAAAGGCGGAATCAATGCCTGACCTTGCCATTAAGGCACCCTCTTTCGCTCCCCAAATCAATACCAATGCCCTGTCAAAGGAAGAAAGAAAGCGTACAATACTCTACTTTCTTCCTTTGAGAGATCATCATTAACCAAGCCCCCAATAGGTTACGACAAATGATGTATCAGATGATAAGTGAGGCACTCCTTCTTTGAGACCAAATTCACAAATGGGCATAATCAAACAGCCCAGCTAAACAACCTAACTCCACCTCTTTGGACTAGTTGCCCGCCAAGATGTCTTCTTTCACAAACACTGAATGAAAATTGTTGGTAAAAATTTGTAGCTCCGACAATATGAATAGAACTCAAAACCTCACGTTAAACAGGTCTCAGAATACGAGAGGGTGTGTGTGAACCGGCATTCTCCCCTTTAGAGGTCTCATCCCTACCCCTAGTCTTGGGCAACTGCTTTCATCTCTTAATGAAGCAGTGGGGACATTCATAATTAAAGGTGTTTTACAACCTTCAGTTGCTCTCGAACATCCAACAAACTCCCTTCTTTTGTCCAACTGGTGTGGCAGGATGCCCCCGGCTGCCTGCTGTAAGGATATCGGGCAACAGTCACAAATTGCCTAAGGGGTAGTGTACCACTCACGCTCTGGTAAGGGGCTCCCCGCACAGCTTGGCAAAGTAGCTAACTCATCTTGCAACGACTGGTAAGCAGCCACCATGGCCACTAAAGCATCACTGGAAACTGATGCATCCATCAATCCTGTTGTTTGCATCATCAGGGGATGGGTGGAGGGGAGTCACTGTAACTCTGCTTGCCCAACAGGCCAGAAGATTGCCAAGGAGAAAAAGCAGGTCAGCCTCATGCTGAGCCCACCACTATTCCCCCTTTTGTTAACCCACCAACACTTGCATTGTATCCAACTAACCCTTGGCAAGGCCCATAGCCCCGTGTGCCACAGTAATGATCCCCCTTTCCTAGTGTCCAAGGTGGGTGTCTTTATTTTGGGGTTAATAAGAATGGAAGGTTTTAAATGATGTGAGGCATTAGATGAAAGTGTGTAGCCAGGAAAATGGGTGTGGCCAGGGCAACTAAAGGGCTAAGACCAGCCCTGTACATACAGACCCTAAAAATTCACTAATTAAAGAAACTCTCCAGCATTATAAATAAATGCATTGTTTTCTTTTTCTTTAACAATTAGAGCTATTTGGTTGTGCTAAATTCTTGGATGTGACAGTGCTTCTCTTTAAAGGGATACTATAGGCACCAAAACAACTTTAGCTGCTCCATTCACTGCCATTTAGGAGTTAAATCACTTTTGTTACTGTTTATGCAACCCTTGCCAAAACTCTCCTGGCTAGTACTGATACAGCCTGCAGATTTCTGATCTTACTTACTTCTTTAGTTCTTATCTCCTGTTTTGTTAATTGAACATTAAAGGGCCATGGTATCCCATTTTAAAGGCACTTTATAAAAGTACCAATTTCTATGGGAAATCAGCAGTTTTATATTAATTTAATAAAACACTCCCCCCCCCGGCTGTCAATCAGACAAGCTCTTTTAAAATATACCCCACTGAATACACACATGTATGAATATCTATTAAACAGGGATTTCTAATGTTTACCCATTTGAGCAGTGGAGTGTCCCTTTAATCACATACAGGCTGATCTTGCAAGCTATTAGCAGAGCAGGAGATAGGAAAATCTACTTAAAATAGACTGTGCAATAAATCAAGTTTAAAAATTAGCAGAGTTATTGACTAAAGTGAGAATTCAAAGTTAAAGGAACACTCCAGGCACCCAGACCACTTCTGCCTATTGGAGTGGTCTGGGTGCCAACTCCCACTACTCTTAACCCTGCAAGTGTCATTATTGCAGTTTTTTATAAACTGCAATAATTACCTTGCAGGGTTAACTCCACCTCTAGTGGCTGTCTACAGAAAACCTGTGCTAGAGCGTCGCTGGACGTCCTTATGCTGTGTTAGGACTTCCAGCGTCGCTCAATTCCCCATAGGAAAGCATTGAAAAGCATTTTCAGTGCTTTCCTATGGGGAGCTCTAATGCACGGCATTGCTGCGCATGCGCATTAGGTCTCCCCGGCCGGCAGTTGGGATTAGTCTCGCACACTGGCCGACGTAATACAGAGTAGGAGCGGCGGCGGAGGAAGAAGCAGCGACGTGGGACATGTCGCTGCATCTGGCAAGTTACTGAAGGGGTTTTCACCCCTCCAGCAACCGGGGATTGGGAGGTGGGAGGGAGAGGAGACCTGCAGTATCCCTTTAATTTCAAATTTAAGGTCTAAATTGTTGCACAGGAAAAATTCTCAAACTCGGTTATGAAAAATTTATTTTGAATTTTCACTTTAGAAAATAACCCTGTAGATCTCCCTTTACAGGAAACGTTTAGAAAGTCACAGTCAAGAGCAGCATAAATAAAGTGATTTATCTCCTAAAAGACAGATAATTAAATAATAGTGAGACTGCAGGGGCACCATCTAAACACCAAAAATGCTTCATTAAGCTAAAGTTGTTTTGTTGCCTATATCCCTTTAAATTCTATCCACATTTATGCTTTTTTTCGAGGGAGATCTGTTCATTGTGAAAAAATGATGAAACAAAACTATTTCAGTGAGATAACATTTTAGGAAATGAAACTCGGGAGGCAGTGTTGTTCAGTTTCATTTCTCCATTCACTCGTCAAGCAGCACGGTATAAAATGGGTTGCTGAGTCAGTTTAGAGGCAGAGGATATTGTTGTGAACAACGAAGACATGCATCACTAGTATGGTAATCTTTCCAGATTCTGGTAAGAAACGACTACAATATTTATATAATGATATGAACAAATCCACAATATGAAGATATTTTAATAAAACAATTCAGCTCTTTTTTTTAGACTTTGTTGGATAACATTTATATACTTATAAATCGTTTCAAGTGTTGATAACCTGTGCAAGAAATGTAATTATTTGAAATATGTTATTTGACCTCATATTAAAACATGAAGATATTTTTATGAAGTTTTGTAGTTATGCACCTCTGATTTAATATATTTGTTTTAAAATAATTTAGTTTTTTATCTTACTTTGGGATGTTTGTTTTAAGTATACTTCACTCACAAGTATTGCAATAACCTATAGTGATTTAATTCTCTGCAAGAAGATTCCAGTCAAAATTGTTTGAAATGTTTGAACAAATGTGAGTGTATTAACCCCTTTGTGACATGAAGTGTTCGGATTGTCTTTATATCCTAGGATTTCCTTACCCATTCCCTGGTGGGGTTAAGGGATACAGCAAGATTGGGAATAGTTTATTGATTGACTGATTGACATGGAAATTGCACTGTTTGAAATATTTACATTTGAAAACACAGTCGGGTGCCTCCCATATTAAACATTTGTCATACTACTCTAGAAAATGTTTGAGTTTTATATTTCTTTTGCTTTTGAGTAAAGTGGGTGTGTCTAGTTATTGACAATGGTAAACATTTGTCTTTCCCTTGTTTGTTTTTACTTATGAAAGCCGAGACTGTTTGTTCTTTTCTGTATTCTAAGAGGAAATAATGTTAAAGGGACAAAACTGTCAAGAAATGAGTCTAGATAATGCTGAAGTTATACAGACCATCAGTCTTGGTTTATGGGTTTCAATGTTTGTTTTTCATAATCTCCTATCATGCAGTAGTATATTGGATAAGTATCAGATCCAGTTCCAACACACAGAATGAGTGGAACTGCTCAGTAACCTAATAACAGCCTTACCACAGCTGCAGTATGTTTATACAGAGCCAGGTTAACAATTTTACAACAGGAGGCTTCGTATTTGCTTAAGTCTCTCTTTACTAGAACTCCACAGCAGCACGGAAAAACAACCAATCAGAAAAAATTTAGGTACTATAAAACTCACCTCCCCATGCATCAGTTTCTCTTTCTTTGCTGCTCTGCAGTCAGAGCAGGTCAAGAGTACCACTGCCTCCTGCTTATAGTGGGTGGCTTTGGGGAGTTATTTATATTTCAGTGTTTTACATGTTTAATTATTTGGGGACTTGTTTTGTATAACTAGCTTATGCCCCACTGCCTTATATTGCACTGGGCTTGGTGTGGAGTTTTGTTTTCCCTCTGGCTCCTTTTATATCTTCTGGGTCTCTCCCCCCCCGTTCTGTCCCCTTATTATTATGTATATTGCCCATCTGTTACTTTCCCACTTTTTGCCGCTCGGGGGTTTCTGGAGGCTGGCCTGCTCTGCATTCTCCGTCCCCCCCGAGCCTCGGGACCGCGGAGTGCACATCCAGTGGTCCCATGTGTGTTTTTAGCTCCGGTCGCGAAGTGCCCCGTTATTGATCGCGCCCGCCGACCGGAGCCTCCACACGTGGCTACTGGCTGCGACCAGCTCGAACTGCGGACCACGTGTGTCCGCCGGGTGGAGGAGGGGGCAATAACGCATTCCCCCTCCCCCACCTGTTAAATTAGTGCCGGAAAGCCGTGAGTGGCTTGTTCTCCCCATTGGGGAGCCAGGAGTCATTTTAAGCTCCGGTCGCGAAGTGCCCCGTTATTGATCGCGCCCGCCGACCGTAGCCTCCAGACGTGGCCACTGGCTGCGACCAGCTCGAACTGCGGACCACGTGTGTCCGCCGGGTGGAGGAGGGGGCAATAACGCATTCCCCCTCCCCCACCTGTTAAATTAGTGCCAGAAAGCCGTGAGTGGCTTGTTCTCCCCATTGGGGAGCCAGGAGTCATTTTAAACCGCGGCCTGAGGCCCTTTTTATAGCTGGCGGTCTGGGAGCAGTCCCTCCCCCCCTGCGTCAGGCTTGGGTTTCACCGGCCTTCAGTTCATTTCAATATATACATTATTTCTCATGTAGTTTCATTCATTGGTGGCAGTTGGGGGTGCCCCACAGTGTATTACACCAAACATAATACACATTTTCCAGGGGAGCCTGAACCCTGCATATCCCTATATCAGAAGCTTACATCTGTTTCTTAAATTAAGGTTACACACCCACTCATACCCTTAAATTGAAAATGTCCCACTAAGTTGTTATGGTGCCTGAAGTGTTCCTTTAAAAAAATTCCATTTGGCTCCTTTGGTTTTAAATCTGAAATTCACTTTGAATTTTCACTTAAGTGAAATATTTCTATTTTTTTATTTGTATTTTCAGAATCCACTAAGAAATGAGTAAAGAAAAGAACAAAGTTATGGGTAAGTGGCACTAATGCAGCCATTGTTAAACAGTATGGCTTTGGCTTTGTGCATACAGCAAAGTTATCTGCATCAAGCCATCGCAGTGTCCTATTGACAGCTGCTCAAGTGCACAATTAATATCATCATACAAAGTCAGAGACTGCACTTTAGCTTGGAGTTGACAAATACAAATCCATTGAGATATAAATATTTCTAGACTGTAAGCTGGTCTGAGCAGGGTCCTTATCTACCTATTGTTCCTGTACCATTTTGTAATTGTCTTATTTATTGTTAAATTTCCCTCTTTCATAATATTGAAAATACCAATAATAATTTATATATCGAAATAAATCACTCGTGTCACATTCATAAACTATAAAAGCTTTTCTCCTGATAACCCAACAGAGCTGCTTTATAGCATGGTCTTGAAACGATTGATCCACACACTAGAGAAAAATTCAGCCCTAGAGAATGGTTAAACGTGCTTTTGCTCCACGAGGAAAGAATTCTGATGTATCTCACCACCAGACTCTGTGGTTTTCAAGGGGTTCTCAGGTGTGAGAGGCATGAAATAGCAGATCTCACATTTACATTGAATTTTAAAATCTAGGTTGAAATAGCCAAACTGTAAGCATTTTCTAAGTCAACTATACTTTAGCTTCTTTGGCCTTAAATTTTATATTCACTTTAAATTCTCAGTTTTGTAAACAACCCCTAGGCTAAGCCCTTCCTAACCCTAACCTTAGCTAAATGCATCTTGTAATATATGTTTAACTAGTGCTACATTTAATCGATCCATGCGATTATTCTCAGATTCCTAATAAAAAATAATTGTGCGTACAGATTTTTTCCAAAGGGCCCCGCCATTCTTGGTCCAGTTGCAGAATATATTACGAAAATATCCTGATGGAGGACAGATTCTGAAAGTAAGTCAGATAAGTATTAATGGTTTCAAAATATTTTATTGATGACTTGTTTCTTTTTCATTCAATATAAAAAAAAAGTTTTTGAATGTAGATAATTACAATAAGAGTAAGTAGACAGCAAAAACAGACAGAATTCACGTGCTACACAACCAGATTAGCATATTTAATACAGTCACTGGTTTAACTGAAATAGATTTCCAAGTCCCCTTACTGAAAACAAATCTACTGTATTTAGAATGATACTTAGGAAAAAAAATATTCTAAATAAGTGGGAATAAAAATGTGATATTCACTAAATATCATTCTCACAGGTGATGGGATGACCATACACTAACCACACGGTAGCAAATATCCTCCCCACTATAGTTCCTATCCCCCCTTCCCCACTATAGGCACTATCATGGGTGTCCGCAGGACATTTTCCGAGCTGTGTGTGGTGGTGGGGGTAGGAGGTGGGCGAGGGGGGCATAATTGTAATGACATTCATGCTTCTCCCACTTTTTGACAGTATCTTGAAGGGGAGGGGCATAGCCACTATCACATAAAGCACAGACAAAATGTTTGAGAAACCTGATGAAAAAGATTTATAAAATAATAAATTTGCCATTGTCTGATTTGAGTGTTGCAATTTCTAATCTGTTGTAATGTTAACACTATTCAATGCACCACATTAGTCATACACACGTGATCAAGGCACTATTTCTGAATTATAAAAATAACTGCACACAAAGCACTAGGTAGCGTGCACAGCAGTTGCTACAGTACTTAGAGACATTCACAGCACTAGCTGTAGCACCAGAATGTGCCCCAGGCAAAATTAGATTCCAGGCTCTTTGAAGGCCAAAAATTTGTGCATTACATAAATGTTAAATATAACTCTTATATTATACAGCATTCCTTTGGATGTCTATATTGTGAAGACCTGGGTATCAATGCATGTTTGTATTTGTGTCCGTGTGAATGCACTTGTGCATGTCTGGATGACTACATTTTCTTTTTCGTATATAGTGTCTGTGTGAATGCATTAGTGTATGTCTGCATATGCAGGGGTGTGGAATATAAAAAAAAAAAAAAAATCTACATGAGGGAGGGGGTGACAGGTGGGAGGTGGTGACGTGTGGCAGAGTGAGGTGGTACCTGGTGGCAGAGTGAGAGAGGGAGGGGGTGAGTGGTGGCAGAGTGAGGGTGAGACACAGTGGGGGGGAGGGGTTGACTAGTGACAGAGTGAGGGATGGGGCGAATAGTGGCAGAGTGAGTGAGGGGTGATGAGGGAGGTGATGACTGGTGAGAGAGGGGATGACTGGTGACAGAGTATTTTGTATGCTTTGTGCAGTCCCAAACACACTGTGGGCAGAAGTAATGCACCTAGTTAACCCGTTCGTGCCTGTAACCATTTCCCTTTTCTCTAATGTATCATAGTCCACATATGTGGTAATAGTGAATCTGACTACATGGGACATACAGCAGAGATGGAACTTTAAAAATTATTTTCTATAATCCTGAAGGTTATGATTATCAGATAGTTAAATCCATGTGTTATTGTTTTATTAGATTGAGATTATTATTTTTTTTAGCAGAGCCTGTCCCCCCACACTCCCCCATGCCTCACTTTCCTGATCTGTAAACTGCCCCCCCATGCCTCACTTACCTAATCTGTATGGTGCCCCCCATGCCTCACTTACCTGATCTGTAGGGTTCCCCCCCCATGCCTCACTTTCCTGATCTGTAAACTGCCCCCCCATGCCTCACTTACCTAATCTGTATGGTGCCCCCCATGCCTCACTTACCTGATCTGTAGGGTTCCCCCCCCACACCTCACTTACCTATTCTTTAGATTATGTAGGCTGTCCAACCCCCCCACACTTACCTGATCTGTAGGCTGCCCCCCATCCCTCACTTACCTGATCTGTAGGCTGCCCCCCATCCCTCACTTACCTGATCTGTAGGCTGCCCCCCCATCCCTCACTTACCTGATCTGTAGGCTGCCCCCATCCCTCACTTATCTGATCTGTAGGCTGCCCCACACATCCCTCACTTATTCGATCTGTAGGCTGCCCCCCATACCTCACTTATCTGATTTATAGGCTGCCATCCCTCAGTTATCTGATCTGTAGGCTGCCCCCATCCCTCAGTTATCTGACCTGTAGGCTGCCCCCCATCCTCACTTATCTGATCTGTAGGCTGCTCCCCCATCCCTCACTTATCTGATCTGTAGGCTGCTCCCCATCCTCACTTATCTGATCTGTAGGCTGCCTCCCCCATCCCTCACTTATCTGATCTGTAGGCTGCTCTGCTCCCCTATCCCTCACTTATCTGATCTGTAGGCTGCTCCCCCCATCCCTCACTTATCTGATCTGTAGGCTGCTCCCCCCATCCCTCACTTATCTGATCTGTAGGCTGACCCTCCCCATCCCTCACTTACACGCAGTCTAGGAGTTGCTGGCTACACTCTGTGCTGCTCCCCCACGGATTCAGTCAGGAGAGAGAATCAGGGATAAGATGTAGCTTACTGTTCCTGCCATTCTCCATACACCTACTGGCCGGTGCCTGTATTGCATTGTATTCTCAATTACTAAAGAAGAATACCAGCACAAGCTGAAAAACCGGGAGGTTGGAGGGGAGGTTCTTGCCTTGTAGACACCCATGGCCACTATCCTCCACAGTGTGGCCCCTACCCCCCTATAGTCTCTACCCCCTCACCATAGATCCTATTCCTCATTATAGCCCTAATACTCCCACTACAGCCCCTATTTCCCCACTACATCCACTATAACCACTATCCCCCATTCTAAAACCTCTATTCTCCCACTACAACCCTAAATGCAGCACAACAGTCAGACAGGCAGACCTGCAAGCAAAACTCCCACAAACATGCAACACCACACACACTTTTCCAGCTCTGTCCCACTTATTATCCAACTACCCACGAGTCACATTCACGAATCAATCATGCTCCAAACTAGTCATATAATGCATATAATCGTGTATATTGGGTTTTGCATTTAGGATACTGGCCTTGGGGCAGCAAGGAGGGTAAATCCGGCCCTGGTCCTACTCCCTTTCCTTAGTGATAGCTGAGTCTAAGCCCCACTCCTTCACAACACTGCCCCCTCCCTCCCACCGTAGCCCCAGACCTTCACACTGCTGCCCCCAATACTCTCCCTACCCCCCAAAACACCAATGCCCCACAATACTGCCCACCCAATACTATCCCTTCCCACCCCCAACATAACCCCAGACCCCCACAATGCTGCCCCCAATACTGTCCCTACCCCTCCAAAACCCCTGTGCTCCACAATGCTGCCCACCCAACACTGTCCCTACCCACTCCATTCCTCCACAATACTGCCCCTATTCCCCAATACTACCCATATCTCCCCCTCGCTAAAGTCCCTATCCCACACAATTCTGCCTCTATCCCCCACAATAAAGCACAGTAACACAGGAAGGGGCTGGTGGGCAAGTAAGAGGCACAGGGTGGTTATGACACATGAAAGGTGGGTGTAATACACTAATGTGGGTGTAACACTCTCACAAAGGGGTAAGACCTTCAAAGGAGATGTTTAACACTAAAGGGGTAAGAAATTTAAAAGAGAGGGTACGAGGCACACAGGTAAAGATACATTTGGGAGGGGGGGAGAAGGGGCAAAATGTATCTTTGCCTGTGTAGCCAAAAATCCTTGCACTGCCCCTGCCTGGGTTTGATGACTAATCTTGGCACTGCAAACATTTGTGGGCTATAGTTCCCATGATGCTTTGCCTACTGGCTGAGCGCTTTGTGAAATATAGTCAACATATAACAACTAGCCTCGGCACTGCAGATGTTTGCAACAATAATTTATTTAATTATCAGGCAGTTTAAAGATGGGCCACATCATGTCATGGGAAATGTTGCATTTCCAATGTGCTAAAATTCTGCTCTGCGGAACTTCCTGATACCTGTGCAGCCAAACCTTTCTACAAGCCCAGCTGCATGATGGTTTTTGAGCTAATGAAAGGTAGAACAAGGTAGTTTCACAGATCACACTCTATGTTCCTGACAAGTGTCAGAGAGTGATATCACTGCTTTGTATATTGTCATGCGTGGCATAGTCCATTCAATGTGTCAAAGCTCAGACAGGGGCTTCATGGACCTTGGTCTTAATGTGGAGCTCTGACTCTGTGTGCCCCCCCCCTCCCCCCCTTTTGAACTGACAGGGGGATCAAAAGTTCTCCCTGCATAACCTTTCAGAAATCATTGTCTGGTGACCGTGGTCTAATTACGGTCCCTTGCGATTCTGGCGCTCTGTGAGGGAGTCTGAAAGCAGATGATGGGATTCCCAGCCTTTGATCTGACTTCCTCACAGTGCGCTGGTGTAAAAGGCCTGCAGCTGCACCAGGAGACCACCAAACTACTAGGGAATCCATCAGACCACCAGGGGATGTATTATTGCCTTCCTTGCTGCACAGGAGGAAAGAAATGCATTTCTGTGTGGAGAGTCTGTGTTTAACACAGTCTCCCCACATACATACTGTCACACCCCCGGCACAAATTCATCCCCCATTCATTTGTCATTCCCTCACTCACACTAACCACCACTTACCCTGTTCCAATCACTTCTCCTTATGTGAGCATACTCCCTCCAACCTTGTCACACTCACCCTGTTACAATCACTTCTCCTTGCGCTATCATACTAACCCCAACTTTGTCACTTGCCACCCTGCAACACTCGCCCCTTAACCCTGTCTCAGTCATCACCTCTCACCCTGCAACACACCCTGTTCCTAACTCTTTACGCCCTCACACTTATCCCTATCACACTCCCAACTCTCAACCTGCCCTAACACTGTCACCATCACCCTTCATCCTGCCACACTCATGCCTTTCACCCTGTTACACCTACCAGCCCTCTTGTCAGTATTTAATAGCCCAACACACAAATCTTGGATCAGTAGCTAAAGAAATTATAAAGCGTATTTCCGGTGATTGAAGAATCGAATAAGCAAGTCAAAGTCAGGAATACAGAAAAACAAAGCCTGTAAACAAGCCAAGGTCAATACCAGGAAATCGAAATAAACTAGATAAGAACGTGCTAATCGGTAACCAAACTGGAGACCATGACAGGGCAAAAGATATGGGGCCAAAACTTTAGTTAAAAACTGAGGAGCACTCTGATTGGTCCACATCATCCATTTGACCCCAAAAGTGTGTCCTCAAAATAAACAAAAGAGCAAGTTTATTTTAAGGAGACGTGCATTTGCATTTAACCAATGTTTCAATCCAACTACCTTGACATATTAAGAAAAGTGTGGTAATGGGACTGAAATGGTGAGTGTATGCTGTTGCACAGCTGCAAAAAACAAATGATGCTATCTTGTTGATTTTGAAGTTCTGAGTGTGTTCTTCACTGTGGCTGAGATCATCAAACTTGATAATTATCTCAGCCAATCCAATGCTTTCCCATGGGAAAGCATTGGGAGGCTAGTGTGGATGTGTGGTAAAATGCTACGAGGTCAATCCGCATCTCTATTCAGAGCCTGCATGCAGACCAAATCTAACACACTGCCTCCTCCCCCCATTCTAATAAACTGCCCTCCTTCCTCCACTCTTATACACTGCCATGTGCCCCACTCTAATACGCTACCCTTCCATCTAATGCACAACCTTCCCAATCTGATACAGTCTCCAATGGCCCACCTCCCCACTCTAATACACTGCCCCTCCCTCCACTCTAATATACTGCCCTCTCCCCACAATCTAATACACTGGCCCTTAATATAATGATCATTAATTAGAAACAGGCAGACACACTATTCAGATAGACCCAATTAATAGGTTTTTTTTCAGTATGTTTGTGCTCCTCATTCAGTATTTTACTTAATCTAACCACTGTTGCGCCACCGTGATCGGCTGTGGCAGGGCTGACCGGAAGCAGACAGAAAAGATCTTTCTTGTCCGGGCCGCAAATATATACATTACAAGCCCAGCAGTCCTGTTGGGGGCTAGCAGCGAGCTGTAACTTACCTTTCCTGCAGCTCCTGTCAGCTCCCTTCTCCTCCGTGCCGGTCAGCTTCCCTGTCAGCTCCACTCTAAGTCTTGCGAGAGCTGCGGGGTCAGAGCGTTGCCACGATTTACCGTGGCAACGCTCCGTGCGGCACTCAGACCATGAGACTTACAGTGGAGGAGAAGGGAGCTGACCGGAACGGAGGAGAAGGGAGCTGACAGGAGCTGCAGGAAAGGTAAGTTACTGCTCGCTGCTAGCCCCCGTCCTACACAGCCCATGCCACTGGACCACCAGGGAATGAGAGCCCCCCTCCCTGGCCAGCTAACAAGCAGGGAGGGGGGACGAAAATAAATAAATACAAATTTTAATAATATTAAAATAAAATACAAATATTAATATAAAATAATAATTAAAAAAAATTATAAAAGTGCCCAACCCATACCAAGGCTCTGCATCACACACACTGCACTCATACACACACACTGCACTCATACACACACACTGCATTCACACACACACACACACACTGCATTCATACACACACACACACTCACTGCATTCATTATATATGAAAGGCAAAGGGCTATTCTGATCTCCCCTCAGTTCTCGATCCTCCGGTCACCAAATCAATATTGATTGGAGAATCATTGTTAGCAATAAAGACACAGACACCACAAATGTGCCTTAACAAGATTCTCATTGAGTATAATTTCAAAGCTAGCATTTATACACAGTTTGTCACGCAAGCAGCGAGATTTATTGCTTCCTTATAGTTAATAGTGCATACTTGTCTGACAAAAAAAGATAAGCATTTGAATAAAGACGGGACAGGAACATCCTGAGGTCGAGCGAGGTCATACATCCTGTAGAAGGGAGGCCTCTCAAAGCATGTTACAGAATACATCTGCCAAGGTCAGCATAATTATTTCAAACATTATTTTAAAGCATATAAAGCAAAAAGAGTTCACTATTTCATATCATTACAATGTACACACACTGTAAATAAATATTCAATTAATATAATTTTTGGGGGATCTAATTTTATTTAGAAATTTACCAGTAGCTGCTGTGTTTCCCACCCCAGTCTTATACTCGAGTCAATAAGTTTTCCCAGTTTTTTTTAGGTAAAATTAGGTGTCTCGACTTATATTTGGGTCGACTTATTCTTGTATTAAACACAACTCAAGCAACTATTACACACATACGCTTCCAGACTCACCTTCACACAGTAGGATGCTCAGGCATATACATAGGTACATTATTCTAGATACACAGACACAATCAGTCAGAATTGTACATATACACTTGCAGTGCCAGAGACACAGACATACTCAGCCCCCCACCTTCCATAACGCACTCAGTCACTACACACACCACTCACAGAAACAGAGCCCCTGGAGGGGACCCCCCAGTCTAGAGCATTGAGTATCCTTAATCTGGCTTTGATTGGCTGTGGGTCTTTGCTACACAATTTCCCTTTTGCATGGTTATCTTGCCATAGAAATAGGTGGTTTGCAGAAAATCAAACAAACCTTAAGGCCCAATTCAGCGAGTAAAATATAAACTGGCCATCTGCACCACAAATAAGTCCAGACTCTATTATTGATTGATGGAAGTTGTGCATGTCTCTGTCATTCACTTCACCTTACATAGTATTGCATTTGCTGGGATTTACATATCCAGGAATGAATGGGGAGCAAATAGGCCAATAACCCTTAATTTCTCTCTTAGAGTGAATCATGGGGCTATGATCTTTGTACACTCCAGCTTGTCTCATCTTTTAGTGCTAGGGGATAGGTAGGTAGAGAGAAGGCAACAAGCAACCTTACTTGGTATATTTTATCTTCAACTCCCCCAGGTGGGAGATGGGGCTATTTTTCAGGCACACCCTAATTCCAATGGGATACTGGGAACCCAGAAACCCATATGGAGCACACAATATTTGATATGATTTGATAAAAATGTTTCCATTGATTTGTAGGAATTAATCCAGAATGCAGATGATGCCAGAGCCAGTGAAGTAATTTTCATTTACGATGAAAGACAATATGGTAATGAGTCCCTTTATTCAAAAGATCTCCAGAGCATCCAAGGTAAAACATAAATGCAACCAGTAATTTAGTTTTATTTTAGCATTTTTCTTGCATGCCTTCTAACAATTTGAATGGTTTGTTTTGGGTTGTGGCTGGATTTGTAAAGAGAGGTCAATCCCAAGATATTTACAATGGCTTCATTAACACCTGACAGTCCTTTATGTAACTGAAAAACGTATTTTAGTCAATGTACTTTATATATGGTAACAGAGGTTTTTGTAAAAGTGTGATTTGCAGGGAACTTTATGTTAATTTAAAATTGTAGACCAAAAAAGCAGAGCTGGCTATTTGTCTGTCTATTTTAACACATAAGATTACGCTCTGTGCCACATCTCTTGGGTGACAGCAATGGCTACAGTACTTATAAGCTTAAATACATAGTACAAAACCAAAAACAAGTTACCTGCACACTATCCCATATGCCTGTGCACATTTAAATAACAGGTTTTTAGTACCACGCCAATGGCTAGTAAAGTGCATCTATCTCATTAATGCCAACCTCTTAGGTGAGTCCTACACTAACAATTCACCTTGCTGCTTTCTGTTAAATGGCAAAATTTCTAATTAAAACAGAAAGTGATATTTTTATGATCCCCTACACACTTATGCACTCTTAATAGGGCACACAAGGGGTGGGTGGTAACCCTAATTTGACTGTGCAATACAGAAGCAAATACAAACACAGAGAATTAAAGGGGCACTATAGTCACCAGAACAACTACAGCTTAATGTAGTTGTTCTGGTGAGAATAGTCAGTCCCTGACAGCTTTTTGAGGTAAACAGTTTGTTTGTTTTTCCCAGAGAAAAGGCAGTGTTTACATTACAGCCTAGGGACACCTCCATATATGGCTGCTAGAAGTGCTTCCTGAGCTGCATGTGCAGTGGCATTCAGTGTCTCCACCCTCTGCATTGAGACACTGAACTTTCCTCATAGAAATGCACTGATTCAATGCATCTATATCAGGAGATGCTGATTGGCCAGGGCTTTGTTTGGCTATGCCCCCGGCCTGCCTACTTGGCCTGAGATCATTAGAATTGACAATCTCAGTCTATGGGAAAACATTATGACTGGCTGAGATCATCAAGAGAGCCAGCACCAGCATACTGGAATAAAGGTTAGATTTTACAAGGGTGACCAGGGGCTAGATAGTGTTTTTAACATTATAGGGTCAGTAATACATGTTTGGGTTCCTTTAAGCACTGTGCTCAAACTAACACTAGATTTGCCCATTTTGGCCTGCTATTTGAAATATCTTAATCATCTAAATAATTCACAATTGAGTGAATAACCCTGAATGTTTGCAGTTTAAATATATGCTGCTGTCACATTAATATCCTTGCTTTGTTTACATTATTATTGTATCCTCTTTTGTGTTTTTTTTTTTTTATTTATTTATTTATTTTTTTGTATGTGATGCATGCTTGAGAAAACAAACCAAAAACTATTTGTTCTATTAGTGTTTTTGGGACACCTAAAAGGTCCTCAAGAAATGTTTATATATTAAAATAATATTACCGTGTGGATCCAGATTTTTAATCAAGAAATAAAACTGCAATGCCTTCCAATTCCAGCCATTATTTTACAATATGACTACTAACTGTTTCTTTAACTAGGTCCTGCTCTTTTGGCATACAACAATGAGATGTTTACAGATGGTGACTGGGAGGGAATCCAGAAACCAGGAAACAGTCTCAAACGCAAAGACCCCAATACAGTTGGGAGATTTGGATTAGGCTTCAACTCTGTTTATCACATCACAGGTACGTGTAATTATCAGTTACTGAACAGGGATTTGATCAGGGTTTCACATGTAAAGTGTAAAGCCAGCAAGAGTTGAGATTGTATGTCAAAAGCATGAATTATGTTAACCGCACTCAGAACCAAAAAGTGAAGCTACTATTGTATTTTCTTACCAGGCTAAATTTGGTCAATATGTGTCTATTCACTTAACCAGGAATTGTGGAGAATTTAAACTATTTTTTTTTTTTCTTTGACGTCCCTTACATTCATGGTTGAAGGGACACTCCAGGCATCAATACAACGTTAATGCTTTTAATTAATGTTGTCCTCATTAATATGCTATATTTTTTGCATGCTTAAAAATGTATAGTTTTTGCACACAAAAAAATGTTTTGCACAATGCTGCACCATAAGCCTGCCTCCATAGCCACACACCCTTATGTCAGAAAGACTTCCATATCAAAGGTAGACACACAGCTCAGCCCCTACAGCACAAGCTGGCTTCAGACAGTTAGAGAAACAACAAACCGGTAGTGGCACCCTTACCATATGTCCCCCTTGGTGTTCACTCTTTCTAATTCAGATCATTCAGTTGTGTCAGTGGCTTAGCTGTGTGCATATTTTTACCTTCATTTTGGTCAAACCAAATGAAATACTGGCCAAAAATTAGGTTCGGCCAAAACGACATTCTTTTTCTTCTGATTGTATTCGGGAAAAACAAATTCAACAAAACCTCGGAAAATGCCATCAAGGTTAACATTCTTGGCCCGCTTTGGGGGTATTAAGGCCACCATCAATCTTCGCACAATGTGCAGAAGCTTCTCTGCCAGTATGTCCTCTGGTACACCTTTAATCTTGAGGTTGTTGCGGCGCCTCATGTCTTCGAACGTGGCAAAGCGTTGCTTATAGACTAAATGTTGTTCAAGGGTTATGGTTTTCCGAGCTTGCAACTCTGTGGAAGTCGTCACAGCTCCCAGCCTGCCCACCAGGCCTGTGAGGTCTGCTCTAAGTGAAGCCACATCTGCTTGAATGGTTTTCTGTAGCTCAATTAACATGCCTTTCAGTGGTGCCGCCGGAGCCAAGTCTGCACCTCGTGGGACCGCCTCAGAGATTGTTGGGGGTGAGTAAGGCAGCGCTACCCCTGTCTAGTGACCGTTCCCCTGAGGAGTCAGAGTATGTGTCGAGGTCGGAGGCCATCTTGAGCCCATATATCCTCTATGTTCATGCTCAATCTGGGCTTGTCGGGTTTTTTGCTTCTTGGTTTTACTACCCATGGTGATCAGACCTGCAGTATTAGGTAATTCCAGGCTGTATATCTGGCTATTGATGCGTTATAATCACTGTTTAGCATGGAGCCCTTTACTTGTGCGTCCGTCTACTTATAATTCTTGGCTCTGCCCCTTTCAATGCATGGCTCCGCCCCTGCAATTTGCACTCTTTTAAAACCTAAAGCTAACAGATGAAAATCACCTGATTAATGCAAGTATATGAATGGTTTTTAAAATGTTTCATATGGAAGATATTGAAAAAGGGTAGACATGTGCAATTCGTTTCGTTCCGAATGTGAAGTTGGATGAATTTCAGGCAATTCAGACATTCTAATGTCCAAATTGCCGAATTTTGGAAGTGCCGAAGTGCTTTGGATTTCGTAAGGGAAAACTATGTGAATGATGACAGGGGTAGAGTTAGGGGTTAGGGATAGAGAGCCCTGCCGAAGTCCCAAAGTGCCAAAAATTTTTTTACTTAAAGGGACACTATAGTCACCAGAACAACTACAGCTTATTGAATTTGTTCTGGTAAGTAGAATCATTACCTTCAGGCTTTTTGCTGTAAACACTGTCTTTTCAGAGAAAATGCAGTGTTTACATTCCAGCCTATTGATAACTTCACTGGCCACTCCTCAGATGGCTGTTAGAGATCCTGACTGGGTCATTGCTGCCTAAAATGCATCCAAAGATTCAGTATCTCCTCCCTCTGCATGCAGACACTGAACTCTTAGAGATTCATTGATTCAATTAAGGAGGAGATGCTGATTGGCCAGGGCTGTGTTTGAATCATGCTGGCTCTGCCCCTGATCTGCCTCTTTGTCAGTCTCAGCTAATCCTATGGGAAAGCATTGTGATTGGATCAGGCTACCACTTCTGCTGATGTCAGGAAAAGGCAGAAGCTTCAGACTTGAATACAAGTAAGATTTTACTATCTTTAGGGTGGCAAAGGGGGCTAGATAGTGTTTTTAACACTATAGGGTCAGGAATACATGTTTGTGTTCCTGACCCTATAGTGCTCCTTTAACCGAATATCCGAACCAAATTTTTTGCCCATGCACATCCCTAAAAAAAAGGGTAAACATATATACAGTTATTATGAATATGTGCTTAGAAAACCAATCTATACAGTGGTAAGTTTGTCTTTTTTACTTTGTTTCTCTCTAATTTACAGACTATCCTGCCATATTTAGTGGAAAAAATATTGGAATTCTGGACCCTTGTGAAACTGTGTTCCACAGAGGAGGCTGCTCCTGGAACCTGGGGCAAAATAAGGAGTCTATTGAGGAGTTAGCTGACCAATTTCACCCTTTTCAGACAGTCTTGGAAGCCATCGATCGAGGTTCTTGGAGTGAAATTCTTAAATCTGGCTGTTTCAAGGGGACACTTTTTCGGTTTCCTTTTAGACTCGCTCCTTCTGAAATTTCTGAAAATGTTTACAGTTCAGAGAGAGTTCAAGAGCTCTTTGAATCTTTCATTAGGGATGCTTGCATCAGCCTTCTTTTCCTGCGCCATGTGACAAGTGTATCTCTGAAGAGAATTGGGAGTGATGGAGTGTTGACAAACCTTCTTACCGTCAATGCATCTTCTGAGAGTTCGGATGAAACGGAGACTCCTGAACTCAAGACTGGAACACATGTAAAAATCACCACAGTAAAGCAATTTGACATAGAAAAGGAAGAGTTTAAATGGCTGATGACAACTTGTTCGGTTCATGGGTATCTCTTTGCAGACCTTGAGGAGCTCAGTAAGAAGTTGTACAACAATATTGCCCTTGATCTGGCTTTCCCTTTAACCAAAGGAGGCATTGACTTGTTTGGTGGCCGTCTAAGCTGTGTACTGCCACTTCCTGACAAGGACGAAAATAGAACAGGACTCCCACTGATCATCAATGGTTGTTTTGATCTAACTGATGATCGAAGAAGCATAAAGTGGATTGAAGTTGACCAACAGCATGATGATGCTGCTAAATGGAACCATATTCTGGTAGAAAGGCTCCTGCCTCTTGTCTACAAATGTGCAATAATGCACGCGGTTTCTTTAGCGAAGACCTCAAAGATTACAGTTGAGGAGGCTTACAGTATTTGGCCAGACCCAGTTAAGACACAACATAAAGGAAAATGGCATAATATTACTAAAGAACTGGCCAAATTATTGATTAATGAGAGACTTCTACAAACTGCTGACAAATCATGTTGGGTAGCCACAAATGAAGCCATATTTATGTTCATTGATAATGACGGCATGCAAAAATGTCTAGAGGATCTTCTTTTGTTACTGAAAAAACCTCTTGTTAAAATTCCAGGACATGTTTACCGAACGCTTACATTATCTGAGATCAGTCATGCAAAGCTGAATATTGTATCTCCCTTGTTTATTCGGACTGTCATGCACAACAGTAACTGGAGTGCCTTTCCAAACGAAAAGAAAATGCTACTTTTGACTTATGTTATCAGTGATGGGCAATTTAATGATTTGTTAAATCTTCAACTCCTTCCGTTGTCTGATGGGACATTCATAAGCTTTCAGAACAATGTTTCGAGTGGGATGGCATACATTGATAGCCCAAACTTTCCAAGGTAACACAAAGAACAAAACGTCAGCATCATTGGATGTGGTAGATATAGGGACTTTAAGTGGATACTCAATTTACTTAATTAACTGAGCAGAAGGCAAGAAATAATTGTAAATGAAAGACACTGTGCAATAAGTGCAGTCTCACTACTCAATGTTTTGCCATTTAGTAGTAGAATCATATTTGTGTCTGTTTATGTAGCCCTAGCCACACCTCCCATAGCAGTGGCCATGAAAAGAAAATTGTTTACATTTCAATCAGATCTTACAGCACAGTATGTTTCTTTGGAAGCTTTTATCTCTGGCCATGTTAATTGAACTTTTATCACACACATGAGGCTGTTGCAAGCTCTGAACCGAGCAGGAGGTAAGACATTTTAAATTAAACATACTGTGCAATAAATAAAGCTAAAATCATATTTTCTTTTCCCCGTAAGGTTGTAGAGGGGCTTTTCTGAGTCTAAACCAAGGGAGGTGTTACTGCTACTTGGTAGAGAACTGAGCAGTGAGACTGGAGGGACATGATCCTCAACCAAAGACAATTAAGCTAAAGATGTTTTGGTGTTTAGAGTGTTCCTTAGACTTCTAGTTCTAACAATTCTTCACCTAGATTAGCTGATAACTTTTTAACCCCTTAAGGACCAAACATCTGGAATAAAAGGGAATCTTGACATGTCACACATGTCATGTGTCCTTAAGGGGTTAATCTCCGTTTCTTTCACTTTTTTTTAAATGGTAAGAATTGGCCATTTTGTTTTTTATACAATGTCGATGTGATATTTTAAACCAAGCCAATATAATTCCTTCTATAGAGAGACAATGTTTTCAATAGATTTCTTTCAATTTTGGGAATGCCACTTTGAAACTATAGCTACTTTGTGATATTTTTACACTACATTGTGTAAAGCAAGCATGTCAAACTCAAAGTGTGGCACGAGCCACATAAACCAGGTTTAAGTTTATGTGGGCCGCACACACACATACATACTCACTGACAGTCACACACACATACAGACACACCACACACATACTCACAGAAAGACACACACATACTCACAGACAGACACACACAGACAGACACACACAAACATACTCACAGACAGACACATACAGACACACACACACACACACTCATACTCACTGACAGACACACACATACTTGCTGACAGACACACACTGACAGACACACACATACTTGCTGACAGAGACACACTCACTGACACAGACAGGCACACACACTCACACAGGGCTGGTTTTAGGCGCCCTGGGTGAGACATCTTTGCAGCGCCCCCCTATCCCCTGTCATCCATGTATAGTGTGTGTAAAGAAGTATAGTGATTGTAAAGGGGATTTATTAAATTAATACTGATTTAAAAATATTAATTACACACACACAGAGTTACAGGCAGACCATTACAAACACACACAGGTACAGATGGACAGTCACGTACATACAGCCACATATACAGTGTCACACACACCGTTACATGCAGGCAGCCACACACACTCACACACACACAGGCAGACAACCACACACACTCACACGCACACACAGGCAGACAGCCACACACACGCACACACGCAGACAGCCGCACACACAGGCAGACAGCCGCACACACAGGCAGACAGCCGCACACACAGGCAGACAGCCGCACACACAGGCAGACAGCCGCACACAGGCAGACAGAAGCCGCACACACAGGCAGACAGCCGCGACACACAGGTAGACAGTCAAGACACACAGGCAGACAGCCGCGACACAGGTAGACAGCCGCGACACACAGGCAGATAGAAGCCGCACACACAGGCAGACAGCCACACACACGCACACACAGGTAGACAGCTACACACACGCCACACAGGTGACAGCCACACACACACGCATACACAGGCAGACAGCTACACACACGCATACACAGGCAGACAGCCACACACGCACACATAGGTAGACAGCTACACACACGCTATTGGCCACAGGTGACAGCTACACACACGCACATTACACAGACAGCCACACACACGCATACACAGGCAGACAGCTACACACACGCACACACAGGCAGACAGCCACACACACGCAGGCCACAGGCAGACAGCCACACACACGCACACACAGGCAGACAGCTAGACACACGCACACACAGGCAGACAGCCACACACACGCACACACAGGCAGACAGCCACACACACGCACACACAGGCAGACAGCCACACACACGCACACACAGGCAGACAGCCACACACACGCACATAGGCAGACAGTCACACGCACACATAGGCCGACAGTCACACGCACACATAGGCCGACAGTCACACGCACACATAGGCCGACAGTCTCACGCACACAGAAGCCGACAGTCTCACGCACACAGAAGCCGACAGTCTCACGCACACAGAAGCCGACAGTCTCACACACACACAGAAGCCGACAGTCTCACACACACACAGAAGCCGACAGTCTCACACACACCGAGGGAAACAGTCACACACACACAGACACAGGCAGACAGTCACACACACACACAGACACAGGCAGACAGTCACACACACAGTCACACATAGTTACCTCTATTCATTATGGAGGAGTGGAAACAGTGCAGCTTCTGGATTCTGGTTGTTGGGGAAGCAGGGACTCCTTCCTGCTTCCCATGCAGCAATTATCTGGCACTTCTAGTCCCGCCCCCACTGTTATTTAGCCCCGCCCCGTCGCAATGTTTTTTTTTTTTTTTTTTTATCCCGGGTTGAGAACAATGAAATCCTCCACACGGGTAGCCGGTGTGTGAGCTGTGTCGGGCCCCAGGGCGCCCCCTGTTCCATGGTGCCCTGTGCGGCCGCACAGCTCTCACACCCCTAAGACCAGCCCTGCACTCACACACTTTTCTTTATTGCGCCCTACCTTATGGAGCCAATGTGGGGCATCTCCCTGGGGTCCTTCCTGCTCCACACTGCTCCTGCGCGGTTTAGTGATGCCTGGTGCCGGAATATGACATCATATTCCGGCGACCAGCTTCACTTCAGTGGGCGAGCGTGAGCTCCCTCGCTGGCCCTCCTCCCTGGCCAGATAAGTGTTAGCATAGTAGGCACCTGCAATATGGAGAAAGCAGGTGCCTACTCTGCTATAACACTGAGCATGCACTCGCTGCCCGCGAGTTTCACATCCTTGGTGTGGAGAGTATTGCTGTGTTGCTGTAGTAATTATTCCAGATCAGTGTAATAAAAAGTAAGTAATATTTCTATGATGGTAACTTTTTGTATTAATTAACTAGGACTTTATTGCCTGGACTTGTGAAAAGATTTATACCAGAGGATCTACCCAGTGATCTTCTTTCTCATCTAAGGAACATTGGTTTAAAAAGTAAGTTGCTTTAATTCCATTCTATTCCAAAGGACAATCGTGTTGATGGATCTGTCACTTTAAAGGGCTTTCAGTCAGGAGATATAAAAAAAAAGTCTTTATATTTAAGATAAAGAACTTAACAATTAGGTTAACAGTTATTATTAAAGGAACACTATAGTCACCTACACAACTTCAGCTTAATGAAGCAGTTTTAGTGTATAGATCATGCTTCTCCGGTTTCACTGCTCAATTCACCGCCATTTAGGAGTTAAATCACTTGGTTTCTGTTTATGCAGCTCTTGTCACACCTCCCCTGACTCTGACACAGCCTGCATGAAAAGAAAACTGGTTTCACTTTCAATCAGATGTAATTTATCTTAAACACATGTATCTCTTTCTCTGTAAATTGAACTTTAAAGGACCACTATAGTCACCCAGACCACTTCAGCTCAATTAAGTGGTCTGGGTGCCAGATCCCCTAGGTTTTAACCTTGCACCTGTAAACATAGCAGTTTCAGACAAACTGCTACGTTTACATTGCAGGGTTAATCCAGCCTCTAGTGGCTGTCTTCCTGAGGCGCTTACGCAACGCTCAATGCGAAAATTACATCGAGCATGTAGAACGTCCATAGGAAAACGTTGAGTAATGCTTTCTTATGGGTGATTTGAATATGCGCGTGGCTCTGGCTGTGCATGCGCATTCGGCTCCACTCGCGAGCTGACATTGGAGGGGGAGGAGAAATCACCAGCGCCGAGGGAGCCCGGCGCTGGATTAAGGTAAGTGGCTGAAGGGGTTTTAACCCTTTCAGGCCAGCGGGAGGGGGGCCCTGAGGGTGGGGGGGACCTAAGGACTATACAGTGAAAACAAATTTGTTTTCCTGGCACTACAGTGGCCCTTTAATCACACACAGGAGGCTCTTGCAGGGTCTAGCAAGCTATTAACGTACCAGTGGATAAGAATATCTAACTTAAACAGAACTTAGATGACTCGTTACAGGAAGTGTTTATGAAGGCTGTGCAAGTCACATGCAGGGAGGTGTGACTAGGGTTCATAAACAAAGTGATTGAACTCCTAAATGGCAGAGAATTGAGCAGTGAGACTGCAGGGACATGCACACCAAAACTGCTTCATTAAGCTAAAGTTGTTTTAGTGACTATAGTGTCCCTTTAAGTAATTGAAGTAAAAAAGGCTTACCATTTTGCTGCACTTGATTTACCAGTATAACGCCTGCAAAGGTGACATGTTGACTTTTAAACAAATGAATTAGATGTTTTGAATTCACATAAAAGTATTCCAAAGGGGAAGTCAGTTGAGGAATATCAGTGATTATGATCAATGTGTAGAGCGGATTTCAATTCCCATCAAACACAACCATTCATTGAATAATTGTATATGTAGTCCAAATTAGGAACAGGATTGTTTGTATGTTGTCAGTTACACCATGGAAAATTAATGTTGTGGTTCACAGTTGGGTATTAATCCCTCACACTGCAATGAAACTGGGAGGGTGGATCGCGGCTGTGGTTGCAAGTGCACTGGGTGAAGAGGGGCACCACCGCCAGATAACCATAAGCTCCGTCTCTGATTGGCCTTCCCCCCTCGAGCTGGCAGGGAGATCAAATGATTTCCCTGCATGGTGCTTTAGAAATCGTTACTTGGTGGTCCTCGGTCCCGGCGCTCTGTGAGGCAGACAGACCGCAAATGCTTGGTTTCCGATCCTGCTTTGACTTCCTCTCATATTGTCAGACTAGAAAGCCTACAGACTAGTGGACCATCAGTAAAAATATCACTGCCCCTTTTGTGACAAGGAGGTAAGCAAAAAGAGGGGAATGTTATATATAATTACTATATTCTAGATCTGTGTGGGGAGACTGTGCTTAACACTCCCTACATACTGTCACTCTCCCCCACTTGTGACACTCACCACCCTATCACACTCACCTCTCTCACCCTGTAACATTTACCCACACCCTAACTCTCCCACCTAACCCTGTCACACTCACACCCCCCCATCTTGTCATATTTACCCCCCTCACCCTGCCATAGTCCCAACCCTACTCACCTTATCACATTCACCCCCTGAAGATAGTCAGCATCATACACAGTCCCCTCTCACACATGAAACACAGCCTCACCATAAACACAACACACAAAGACCGCATGCAGCCCTCCTTACACAAAACATAATTGCTATAGAAGCCACTGAGGCACCTAGAAAAACTAGTGGTCAGATGCATAATAAAATCATTAACTAATTCCCCCCCACCCCCCAAAAAATATATAATATTTATACGAGGGTATCAAAACCTGGCTGCCTGCACTTGAAAGGCAGTAACACCCAACTGAGCTTTTGTCTCGGGTGAAAGAATGTCTAGTTTTGACACTGCCTTATCCCACCATCCTCAGGATGAGGAAATGAAACTTGCCAGGCCTTCTATGGCTACGATGGGTTTTGATGGCCTCTCCTAAATATTTTTGGGGGTGAACTTCTCTGGCCCCTGTAGAATAACTAGGGGATTATACAGATACTTGCTTTATTCATTATTTCATTAAAAAAAAACAAAAAAACAAAAAAAAACAACCCACTAATTTGTCCTTTCTGGTTATATCAGGGTTCAGTACATAGGCAGAACACTAGGGGTTGCCATGGTCGCTAGTCCGACTGAGCCCTATGTATTCCACCTGACACAGGGGGTCCATGAGCTTGCCGGCTGGCCCTGTTAGGGCACACATTAGGTGGGCGGCTGTGTGGTAATGCAGAGTAGACACCTGCTTACCAGGACGTCAGTTATAAAAGCACCGAAATTTCGTCTGCTGACATTTTTGTCCGACAAAGGGCCTATCCTATTTTGGATGAAAATGAGCTAAATGTGCCCATTTCTTATTTTAGGCCAAATTAGCCAAACTGAAAACAATTGTTTTTGTTTTTTTTCTAGTTTAGTTATTATGGCCTAAAATATGAAATTCACTGTAAGTTGCTGACAATTAAAAAGTCTAATACTAAATCAATTATAGAAAAAATAATTTTAAAACAATTTTGGGGAAAAAAGTCACTTTTGGTTTTCGGCCAAGGGCATCCTGAATTTTCGGTTTCGGCCCAGAATTTTCATTTTGGTGCATCCCTAACGACAGTTTCCTGCTCTGCTGAAATATATTGTGTCCGGTGAGGGAGCTCTGATCTGTGTGCTCATCCAACACTTATGCCTCGCATGCACTGCAGTGATGAATGGTTATGACATTACTAAAGAGCATGCTTACCTATCACTGTTACTCTCCTAGCAGGTGCTTGCTGGGAGAGTATGGGATGCACTGAGGCCAGTGTGCTAGCAGTGAAGCCAGCATGCTAGCATTGCAATCCCCATGCTGATGCTAAGAGAAGTGACCCCAAGTAGGGCCAATCACTTTACATCCACATGCAGCCAAACCCCATGTACAATCCACTCAGCACAAATACCCAAAATAACTGTCCGCAATTGTGCAATCCAGAATTAGGGACAATGCCTTCTCAGGCCAAGATTTGGGTAACTAGCTAAATAATAACACCATTAAATATGTAATGAACATTCATAATCAATAGCCACTTTATAGGTAATAAATATATTTATTTTTTTTCAGGAACTTACAAAAACCTTATGTGTCTTGATGAAGTTGTTGTATGCAGGAGTTTGAGTGAAGCACTTCCAAAAACATGGCTCAAACGTCATGACATTGTCACATGGTGCCCAGGAGAACCAAACAATCCACCATTGAACTGGCTTCCTACATTCTGGGCTTTCCTACAAAGATATGACTACATTTTAGAATCGCTTGAAGATCAACCACTTGTGCCACTAAATTCTATTACACAAAACACCAACGACATTAAGCTTGCTCCATTGAAAAAAAATACTACTTTAGTTTTTCAAAAAAAAGATGGCTACATCTTGAATGACTGCCTTACTGCAATGCTAGAGCAGGCAGGCTGCAGTGTGATACAGCAAGAGAACTCTTGGTTATGGCACAAAAATATCCAAAAATATATCCTGGTACCCTCTCCAAATAACATTTTAGAGATATTTTCCCATCTGAATTTAAAAGAGCTTGTACGACTATTTTTGAATTCATCTAGAGAAGATGCTAAAATGTTCTGTGACTATATTTCTCAAGCACGTTCTTTTACTGCCTCTGAACTGAAGATTTTGTACCAGCTGCCTATCTTTTGCAGTACCAACAATATACATTTCTCTGACTCTAGACTAGTAAATGCTGGTCATTTAAGAGCAGTGGACAAAACCACTACCCCCACTGTACCCGAAGACCTTGTATTCCCAGATGTTTTCATATGTTGCAGAGGTGGATCAGATCGCAGGCTTTTACAGTTGATGAAAATTCCTTTACTAAATGCATCTGATGTGGCTTTAGTATTTGTTAAAGCCATTCAGAGTGGTTCTTATGCTCACTATCAGAACAAGGCTCAGGATGCAATGCTATGGATTTTGAGGAATGGACACATAGTTTTCACTCAGAATGATGTACTCCGACGCATGTGTGCAAGTCTTAATTTTATCCCTCAGAATGGTAAAGTTACACAAGCATCTCTTCTTTTTGACCCAAAGGTGCAAATATTTCAAGAACTATTTGAACCAGAGAATTTTCCACCACCACCATATAATGAAGATTTAATCTTGAAGTCACTGAGGACTTTAGGTTTGAAAGATTCATTAGACAACATTAAACCAGATGATGTCCTTCAGATTGCTAAAACAATAAGTCAACTAAAATGTCATACGACCGCTAAGAAGAAAGCAGAGGCTCTCATTAAAGTTTGCAACACGTCTAATATTTTATCTAAACTTAACAAACCTGATTTAAAGACCCTCTGCGGCACCTCATGGGTTCCAGTTGATGTGAACAAGTTCACAGATGTGTTCAGTGAGCCAAAACAGTCGAGAGATATGATGTATAGCAACATAGTAGAATTCTCAATGCCTCTAACAAATGATTTTAACAAACAGGCAAGTAGCATTCTAGGCCTAAGTGACCTACCACCTCCTGGCAAAGTACTTGAAAATCTCAAGTCTTTCAGCCAAAATATCAATCAAATAGACCAATTCTCCTTTTATAGGAAACTTCATGACATTTACAAATACATAAAAGACCATGTTGAGCAGTTTTATGATGACCTTCACCATGTGCTGATTTGGAATGGGGAAGGTTTTTCTTACCCCCAAAATATTGTGTTGTCCTATCCTGACGGTTTGGATCTGTCCACCTATGTAAAAAAAGTCCCATCTGATTTTCTAATTTACAAATCTCTTTTTATTCAGTGTGGTGTGCACAGTTCTCTTCCAGAGGATAAGGTGATTAATATACTTCATGTTCTAAACCACAGCATAGAGACTAGAATCCCACCATCTGGTGATAATAAAGAACTGAGATTGGCAGTTTCCATTCTTGACTGGATGAAAACAAATAATGTTCATGGATCGGATGATCTTCCTATCCCAGTGCAAACTGGCAAATGTGGATTTTGCTTGAAACCTTTATCTACAACTTTATTTTGCGATATAGATAAACTCCGTATTAATGGCCTTTGTCCTGAGGGCACAAATTATTATATTGTCCATGAAGAAGTGTCTCCAGCAACAGTCAGATTTTTAAACATCCCCCTTTTGAGCACCAAACTATTACAACCAGAATATTTTGAACTGGCTGGGCCCTCTGAACCAATTACTCTCAGAATTAAGAATATACTGAGAGAGTACAGTGAACATGTTGAACTTTTTAAGGAGATTATACAGAATGCAGATGATGCAAACTCCACAGTATGTGAATTTTTAGTGGATATGAGGCAAAACTCAGAATCGCGACAAAGTCTGATAGATGCTGATATGGCCATGTGTCATGGACCTGCACTATGGTGCTACAACAATAGTAAGTTCACCGAAAATGATTTTGTCAACATCACCCGTGTTGGAGGAGCCACTAAAGAAACACAGTTAAATAAAATTGGGAAATTTGGTTTGGGTTTCAATACGGTCTATCACATAACAGATGTACCTTCAATTATGAGTGGCTCAAAGCTTTTAATATTTGACCCGAACATCAACCACATGAAGAAACACATTCCTAATGGAAGCAACCCAGGAATAAAACTAAACCTGCAGAAAAATCCTGAAACGCTCAAGATATTTGCCGACCAATTCCAACCATTTTCAAAAGTATTTAGCTGTGATCTTAAGAGTCCATTTCATTTTGATGGGACTTTAATTCGCTTGCCTTTTCGGACAGAAACAGAAGCTAAGATTTCTCAAATATGTGAACATGTTTACAACGAAGAAAACATTAATATCTTTTTAAACAGTTTTGAAAGCAGTGCAGACATTCTGTTAATTTTTCTGAAAAATGTTGAAAGGGTGACACTGAATTTTCTTCCCAAAGATCTTCACCCCGAGAAGAAGACTACACGAATGGATCTACACAGAGACAGAATAAAAAGATTGGAGGTGCCTGAAAGTGTATTTCCACAGCAGAAACGGATAACTGCTTCTAACATACTTGGAGTTAGTACAGATGAATATGATGTCACTGGGTCAAACATAATCAAACTTACAGTGCAACAATTAGAGGCAACTAAGGAACAGCATTATTTGGTGCAATCTAGTCTCGGAATCAAAGGGTCATTGCAAATGTTCACTGAGAATCCTAAAACAAAGTTTTCCCTTCCTATTGCTGGAGTTGCTCTACCACTTAAGAAAAATCACGAAACGGGTAGATGGAGCCCTGATTTGTTGGACTTTAAAGGGGTGGCTTTCTGTTTTTTACCACTCCCTATTTTCTCGGGGCTCCCTTTTCATTTAAATGGATCATTCTCTGTTATGTCCAATAGGAAAAGCTTGTGGGATACAACAGAAAAGGGTGAATGGAACAAACGTTTATGTTGCGATGCGGTCTTGGTTGCACTGATAACAGCCCTGTTACAGTTACAAGAACAAAGTCTGAATGGGGCATTAGAAAACTATCAATACCATACATTCTGGCCTGATATTACAAAAGTTAAGTCACAGTTCACAGAGGCAGTGAAAGCTTTTTATCAAGCCATGGCATTTGGATTTGCAGACTACCTCCCAGCTCTCTTTAGCAATGGACAAGAAAGCTGTACAATAAAACATGCTTGTTTTTTGCAGCTAGAGAATACCAGTTCAAATGGTTCAAATTCAGAAACTATTCAAAAACTTGCTACAAAAGTGTTTTCACAGTTCCTACCAAAACCTTATCTTGCAGTGTCCATTCCAGAATGGGTTAAAACCAGCTTCATTAACAGCAACTGCTTCACCGAGCTTCATAACAATTATTTCAATTGTGAACGTTTTTACAGAGATATTGTATTTGAAAATCTTGACTCTCTAGATACAGAAGACAGAAATGCTCTCATACGTAATGCAATTGACATGCAAAACAAACAGCTAAATGAGCTGCTGTTATCAAAACCTTGCATCCCAACATCTCCCAACGGAAAGCTACAATTTATTACGAAGCTGGTGCATCCTGAAGGTTTAGTATCAACATTGTATAACCAGGAGGATGAGTGTTTTCCTCAAGGTGCAGATTTCTTGAAAACCGACAGATTAGCACGCTTACAGTTTCTTGGCATGGTCAAAGATAAAATTCCTATGAAAGAACTAATGGAAAGGGCAGCAAAAATAAATGAAGTTTGGAAACAGGATAGAAACGCAGGATTACAAAAAATGTCCTGCGTGTTGGAGCTGATAAATGATTTGTGTCACCAGTCAAAGGATAACATATCCCAGAGAGAATTCAGGAGCATTGCCTTTCTTCCAGCATTATCACCTAAAAGCATATTTGATGGGACAATAAAAACTGATTTAATGAAATCCACAGATATCTTTCATTCCAAATACAAGGACCTTGTTTGCATGATCAAACCAGTTCTTTGGGAAGATGATCTGGGAGAATTATTTACATTTTCTCAATCAACTCTGTCTTTTTTAGGCCTTGATCAGCCTCCTAATTGGGAACTGGTGATTTCACAACTGACAGAAATCCACAAAATATCCAATTTATTAAAAACAGAAGAAATGTCTCAAATGGTCAGGAGCTGCTATAGCTTTTTAAATAAGTTTATACAAAAAGGGCCAAGCCAAGCCAAACGCATTCGAGAAAGAACTGAAGGCATTCCTTTTGTTTATGTTAATAGAGACTTTGTGCCACTGGACTCTCTTGCATTTGAAATGCCTTTTGATGCTTCACCTTATCTGTATAAATTGCCAAATGAGTATAAGGTGTTTCATAATCTGTGGGATTGTGTTGGACTGCGTGAAAAATTCACAATCAAACATTATACCACTGTCTTTGAAAACATGGCTATGAAATATAAAAATAGCCCCCTGCCGCAAAAGGAAACCTCATTGGCTATACAGATAATAAATCATTTTGCAATCTATGAGGAGGATTCCATTCATTCACTTAACCTTTGTGCCCAGCAAATTTTTATACCTGACCAACAATGTATAATGTGTCACAGAGATAAAATTTATTTCAATGATACTCCATGGCTGCTTTCTGACAAAAGCTTGCGTTTCTGCCATGATTTAATTCCACGCTCTGTGGCTCTGAAATTGGGGATTAAAACAAAAATTCACCATACATTGCAAAAAATGAAAGTTTCTAACCTCTCTCATTGGGTCTTACAATTTGGTGCCAAAGAAGAGATAACTACACGCATCAAAAACATTATAGGTGAATATTCCTCTAAGAAGGATATCTTGAAAGAACTCATTCAGAATGCTGATGACTCAGAGGCTACGGAAATTCACTTTGTGTTGGACAACAGAACACACAAAACTACGAAGAGTTTTGGGGAAAGTTGGAAACCATTGCAGGGACCATCTCTGTGCATCTACAACAACAAGACATTCGACTCTAAAGACATTGAAGGCATTCAAATGCTAGGTATAGGTGGTAAAGGAGACCGTGTTGACAAAACTGGGAAATTTGGACTGGGGTTTAATACAGTTTACCATATAACTGATTGCCCTTCATTTGTGACTGAAGATTTTTTTCTGTGTGTTTTTGATCCTAATCTAGCTTTTTTACCAACATCTGAAACCAGCAGCCCAGGAGGAATGTTCAAGCTAGATCAAGAATTCAAGAACACTTTTGAAGATGTATATCATACTTACCTCCCTGAGTTGTTTAACCTTCAAGAGGGTACACTTTTCCGTTTACCTTTAAGGATGGCAAACACAGTAGAAAAGTCTAAGATTTGCAACCAAACTGTCTCTTTGGAAGATATCCGAATAATGTGCAAGGAATTGGAAGAGGATGCAGACAGCATGATACTGTTTTTAAACCACATTAAAAAGATAACATTCTCTGAAATCTCTTGCATCGGTGACAATAAAAAGTTGCTGTCCATTACAACAGAAATGGAGCCATTAGATGAAAACGGAAGGTCTGCTTTTCAACATAAAATATCCCAACTTGCAGAGGATGACAAATTTGAAATTGGCACTGAGCCATTAAGTGTATCTTACAAAATGGTAATAAAATGCAATTCCAAGAAACCAAAACATTGGCTTATTGATAAACAGGTTGGTATTGAAGGTGATAAAGCACTGGCTGAGTTTCATAGGATTTCTAAGCTTTTGCAGAAGACTATTGCTCCCCATGGAGCTATAGCTACATGTCTTGATCAACGTGTTAAAGGACGGGCCTTCTGCACTTTGCCACTTCCTGCAGAGACTGGACTTCCGGTACATATCAGTGGAACATTTGTAGTGGATGCTGCACGCAGGGACATCTGCGAAGAAGATGGCAGAAGTCTGAAAACTGAATGGAATTCATTTATACTTTCAAATGTCATAGCACCATTGTATGTCAAGCATCTTAAGAGCCTTAAGAAAGAAATAACGTCAGGTAGAGAAACAATTATTTTTAAAAGCTGGAATTCCTGTAGAGACCCCCTTGATAACTTTTTAAGCCATTTTCCTAAAAGCATTGCTGGCATGTCCCAACTATGGAAGACTATGGTTAACCAAGTGTATCGTACTATATTTGAAAAACAAGTTAAATTGGTCCCAGTTTATAAAACACAATCAAAGCAAAACAAATATAATGAGAGCGTATCTGTGGAAATTAGGTGGACAAAAATTGATCTTAGTCTCTTAATTGAAGCACCATATTTTCTCCAAAGAGAAAAATATGAAGATAACCTTCTGGTTCCTGTTCTGCAGGCAGTCAACATGAAACTAGCTTATGACAACTCTCAGTATTCCATATGTGAAGAGTTCAAAGAAGCAGGTGTTGAAGTCCTGGAATTAAGTCCTAAAACTTTATGCAACTTTCTAAGAAATGTCCCACTTCATTCACAAGAGAAGAGCCAACCCTTGAAAGTTTCTGAAACTTTTCTTAAAAAAAATGAAAATTGCAAGTTACTTTTGAAATACTGTTTCATTGGGCAAAATAGTAATCAAAGTGAAAATGTAGATCTGCAAGGTGTTCCTCTTTTGGTGACTGAAGATGACATGCTTCAATCATTTGACAGAGAAAATCCTAAATATTATTCAAAATTCAGTAACCTATTCCCAGCTTACAAACACCTATTTACAAAGTGCGAGGGCGCATGCATTGACACACTAGAGAAGCATTGCTTCTTAAAACCTTTAACTATCCAAAATGCTGCTTTTTTTATAAAAGCACATCTAGGTGAGTCATACAATATTTCTCCCACAGAGGATTGTGCAGGTCAGTTTGTACGTGAAATCAACAATGAACCTTGGTTAAAACATCTATGGTGCTTCTTTCAAAGTGAGCTACATAGCAAGAGAAATGAAGAGAGAATGCAACTATTTAAGGGCATTTTATCCTTATTCAATGATTGGGCTATATTACCAGTGTGCTATGGAAAACATTCTAAGAAAAACGTTCTAATTCCACTTGCCAAGCTCAAGAACACTCTACGATCTTTTGATGATGGTGAAGTGACCAAAAGTCTTTTTGAGCTGGGATTCTCCCGTGTGAAGTCTTCATTACTGCCTTCAGACCTATATGTTGAATACATTTATCCTGCTCTTATGGAAACAAAAGATGTCAGTATAGTGCTGCAACAATTATGTTCTAAAAGTCATCTTCAATGGAATGAACTTGAGGCGATCTCTTTTGAAATTCTTCTGAATTTCTTTTTACATGGTTTACAAAATAAAAGCAACAGTAAAACCTTAACAGACCAACTTCAATCTTTACCCTTATTTGAGAACCACAAAGGAATGCGAAAGTGTTTGAACATTTATGAAAAAATTTACATATTAGACACTAATCGCGAGTTGGAGTTTATAAAACTTTACGAGCTGGACCCACAAACCATTTTCTTGAAAAATAATGCAACTAATAGAAATTTATGTAAACATATAAACATTCAAATAATCAAAGAAGTAGATTTTCTAGTAGAATTTCTCCTTCATAACTTGGCATCTGTACACGAAGAGGAATTCTTACATATTCTTAAACTGATTTTGGAAATAAGTCATCTGCCCGAATACCAAAATAAAAAAGATACTGTTATCTCCACCTTGAAACCAATTAAGTTAATCAGAGACAAAAATGGAGCACTTCAGCAGGTATCATACTTTTACAATCATGAAATACCCATTTTTAACATTTTCGAGTTCCAATCAATGTTTATCCCGGAGGACTTCATGAAACCATTTAAAAAATATGGAAATTGTTTCAATACTCTACTACTGGACCTTGGTATGAAAAATGCACTTTCAGAAAATGACTTTATTAGGTTTGCAACCAATATTGAAAGGGATGCAAAAGATAATGACAGATCAAAATCCCTTAAGCCAAAGGCTAAAGCACTGTTCAACTACTTACTGTCCATGGGTGAAAAAAACCTCCGTAATGATTTCATAACTAAACTGGGAAACATTAAGTTCCTCTTTCCTTTAGATGTACACAAAGACTTAAAATCCCTCTTTCCTTCACATTCAGAGAACACTACAATCGCACTTAAAGGGTCCCTGTTAAAGAAATGTGAGGAATATGAATCATTAACTTGGACTTCAATGGACTTGATCAAAAATCGGACCTACTTAGACAAGAAAAAGCTGAGCATTTTAGAAAAGTGTGGTGTTCTGCTTGAGCCACCAATTTGTCATGTGGTGAACAATCTAAAAAATATTTGTAGTGCTTCATGTGACAATAAAACATTAAAGACCACTAGGAGTCAAGTTCTTAAATTATCTTATAATTTCCTTCAGAACAAAAACACCTTTGACCCTCACACCTTTGCAGACATTCGATTAATTTTATTAGAAGATAACAATGTAACTGAGCCAGGAAATGTAGTTTTTAATCTTTACAATGAAGACCATTTTTCACCTTATCTATTCAAGTTGCCTCCACTTCTTGCATGCTACAGTCCATTCTTTCAAAAGATTGGGGTGGCCCTGGAACCTTCAACCTTTCATTATGCAAAGGTGCTTTCAACGATTTATAAAGAAACTCTTTATAAAGAAGAAATGCATCCAAACCTAAAAAGGACTGTTCTGACTGTCACTGAACAGCTTTTTAAACTTCTAGAAAAAGAAAAGCCAACAGAACTGCCAGATATTAAAACACTTTATCTTCCAGCCACTAACGGAAAGCTCTATGATTCATGCAGCCTTGTTCTCAACAATAGGTGTACTTCTATGGCAATATCTCGACAAAGTAATGTACTTAAGTTTCTAGCAATTGATTATTTAAGTGATGACCTATGCAAACAGGAACAGCTTGTCAAATGCTTACCTGAACAAATGCGTCCTAAAATGCTTACACAGATAACCGAACAAACAGTTGACAAAGAATCACTAAAGATTTGTAAATATGGAGTTCAATGTCCACTAAAAAAACGCTTCCAGGAACTTGTAGCCTCTCCAGTCCTTCACGAAGGTCTTGTTTGTCTTTTAAGGAGTCAGAACAATGGAAAACTTAGTGAAGAAGAGGCTTCCAAAATGTGTAGAGTTGTTTCTGGAAAACTAGAAGTAAAATGCTGCTCTAATTTAAAGACATCTCTTATGTACCACGGCAAGCCTTTGGAAGGAACACATATGACTCAAATTGTTTTTGTGAACAAAAACAGTGAAGATCAATGTACAATTTACCTAAAGCACACTGAATCAGTCTGCATTAGTCCATATGTTATCATAATTACTGTGCTTGCTGCAGAAATTAACAGTCTGATGGAACACGAATTCAATAGTCAATCCATGCCAATTCTTATACAAATGTTAAGTTGTGAAAATCCTGATGGTATAATTTATGTGCTTAAGACTAATAACTTATGGAAAAAGAAGAGTGCCTACAGTATTTACAGGTTTCCAAATCCAGGAGAACCCATTCCTGCTGAGTGGCATGATGCTTTAGATATGAGTATTTTGAATAGTTTTAAAGTAAATGACTATGTTGGATACATGGATCCCTCAGAAGAAGGCTCCTACCGTTATGCAACAATAGTAGAGGAACTGGATACCGTATTATCTAATGGTGAAATAAAGATGTATCGAATCTGCCTTGGTAAAGATGAATTTGCTGAAGTTAGTGCACTTGATTTGTATCAGTTTAAAAGAATCATTACTGAAGACTGTAAAGCATTGGTATTGGTTGAGAATACAAGTCAGCAAGAACATATTCGCGATAAGTGGCATGAAGCATCTATGGAACACATAAAAAAAGAGATTGATGGATGTCTGGAACAAATCTGGAATTTGCCCAAGAATGAAAGAGAAAAAGCAATCAGACGTCTTTACCTTAAGTACCATCCAGATAAGAACACTGGGCAAGAAGAACTTTCGACAGAAATTTGCAAGTATCTCCAGCAGAGAATCAGAGAGCGGGAATCAGGTACAAAAGCGAATGGCGCAGCTTCATCGACGTATTCTAATCCTTCTAGACCTTTTTACAAATGCTGGGAAAGATGGGATAGAGAAGCTTCCTATCACAGAAGAAGTCATGAAACCTTTTCAAAGAGTACAAAATGTCAGTATGATTTCTGGGGCTACCACAACAGAGCTACCAAACCAAATCCTACAGAAGCAAGTAGGTGGTTTAGGCAAGCAGAGTGCGATCTAAGAGCTGCAGAACATGAAGTTGGTCTCCACCATACTGAATGGGTGTTTTTCAAAGTACACCAAGCTGTAGAAAAGGCTTTATTTGCAGCTCAGTACATCCATAAAGGAAAAACTGACATCAATGAAAACATTGACATTGTAAATTTGGCAAAAAATGTCTCTACATACTGTAGCAGTCTGCATGACATTAACAAACATGTGTTACAGATGGAAAGATATGGAGTGGACAAATTAAAAACACAGTATCCTAATTTCTGTAATCCACCTGGCATCCCAAACAATAGTATGCCATCAGACAAAGAACATGAAGCCATTAAATTGGCTGAAAATGTTCTCCAGAAAATAAAGACATATGTGTATTGATAACAAGCACATCAGCTTTCGCTTCATTATTCGCTTTAACATAGGTTGAAGTTAAAATCTTTGGTTTTTCTATTACATGTCCTGCAGATGAAGATATGCATATATGGTAGCTGTGTATGTTTGTGTGTATCTCTCATTATTAATAACCTAAAGCAAAATTCTTTGCATTACAGAAGACCAAAACTAAGTAATTAATAAGTGTAATTAATATAACATTTTTGGACATTGTAATTATTATAAATATATATAGTTTTTGTTTGATAGTTGGTTACATTTTCTTTATTGCTTCACTTAATGACTTGGTGATATGCATGAATAAATGGCCTAGATTTCATTAATTTGAATAAGAATCAGAAGTGACGCAATTTTGTTAGATTTTATTTATAAAATGATTTATCTACTAAAATTCCCATAGACCTTAGTGTTAACTTCTGAAGATTAATTATTTGAAATAATTTCAGATTCTGATTCAAACTAATTTTAAGTTTAACGTCTGTGTATGTAGTTTATATATATGTGTGTGTATTTATTTTAGAATGGAAATGTTTATAGGTAAATGTTTGTAGTTCAATTATATGTTTTTGAAAAATGTAACCGTTTGATTTTTGTTTTATTTTCTTATTCAAATGCTGTTTTTAGTATACAAAATACATTCCAATAAAATTTGTTTCCGTGACTAAATTTTACCTTATTGGCTTTATAAAAACAAAACAAAACCCTATTTATGCAATATTATAGTTTTGTGACTAAACGACTTTCAACTGTAAAAAACTTCAAAATAGTTTCAGCTCTGCTGTTTTAGCCTAAGACTTGCAATTACTTTGTCAGTTTTCCACAGTCCCCTGTTTAATGAAGAAACTCCTGTGTGCATTGTGTGTGTAGTGTGAAGGTAAGTGTAGAATCAGTGGGGATGCATGTGCATATTTACATAAATAATGTTACTGTAAACGTTGTTCTGTGTGTAGTGTCAGTATGTGAGAATGTAAAAAATGCATTTGAGTGTACTGTAAGTGTGTCTGAATACATGGATTTATTTGCATTTTGTGTAAATTTGTAAATGCAGAACTGTATTTGTATATAGTGTCAGGGTTTGTGAATGCTTTTGTTTGTAGAGTATGTGTCAGTTAGTGCAAGTAAGTGCATACCTCCCAACTCTGGGACGTTTGGAAATGAAATAGGGAAGAAAGCATAAGGGAGCATCCTAGTGATGTCAAAAATGGAGCAGGCTTATTTTATTTATTTATTTTTTTTTTAAAGGGGCATGGTAGAATGACCTGAACGCAAGGCAGGGTGCCAGACAATCACCTTGACTGGCTCCACTGAGGGCCATACATGCCCAGAACAGTGTTAAAGCACTCTGCTTATGGGATGAATGCCCAAGGGGCAGTTTGTATAATACGTGTGTATTTAATAATGTGCTCACACTGTGCCTTGTGGGGACTCGCTAATACAGGAGACCAGAAGGTAAACCTAGGAAGGTTAGTAGATATGGTTTAGTGACAGTGTGTGCACATACAGAGTTAGAGTTCTATTTATGATTAGTAAAAGTGAGTGCAAATGTATAATTTTACTTGGAAGTACAGTGTGTGCAAATGCAACAGCTTATTTTGTGTTCAATGTGTGAATGCAAGTGTGCAGGCCTCTCAACCGTCCCAATATATTCTTGTAGGAATACCACATGCATTACAATTAACCCCTTCACCACCAAGCGATTCACAAAGAAACCTCCTCCAGAATCTGAGTATTTTGCGTGTCCTGGAAAGTAATGTTTAAATGTATTTTTCACTTCAGTATGCATAGACACACACTGATACATGTTACAAAAGGTGGGTGTAGATGCAAAGGGCGCTAATCAAATTCTCTATTTAAAACCTTGAGTTTAAACAGCCCATGGTGTACATCCAAAATATATTTTTATTGAGTAGCGGTTTTTCATGGTCACCCCCTCTTCTAAGGGGTCCCACACAGTCAATGATCTGAAATCTCAATTGTGAGACAGTTTGACCATGTCTAACAATGTGGTTAGTACTGGTTGTTCAAATTTGTTTTAGTTCACACAGCTGACTTTTGATGCCAAGACACTCACTCACATTCATATGCACGCACAGACATTCAAACACGTCTCAAGATGGTAAGTGGGGCAGCTCCATCCACTGTTATGTGTTCTATACGTGGGTCCAATAGATCGGAGCTGGGGGAGTAGAGGGGGTCGTATTCAAGGGAGGCACTTGGTTCTTATCTTGCAGTCTCAACCAGTGCGGGCGTACTGTCGTGGGCAGTAAAGGGAGAGTGAGCCCTAAGTGTAGTATAACTTTTAAACAGAACTAAGGCATGATCAAAAACAACTTAAAAGGAGGAGAGAGGGGACAAGTCCCAGCACCAATATTGCCGTTTTCAGGTGGTAGGTATGCCAGTTCTTCTTCGGGATGCAGGGATGAACAGGACCGCGGTAGCGGAATTCCAGGTGGTGGTAGTGGGTCGAGCGACATGACCAGGTCCCAGGGAGGACAGGATAGCGTCCATTTCAGATGCTTCTGTGATTCTGTGTTCTGCACCATTGTGCTGGAATAGCAGTGTACATGGTGTGCCCCATCGATACTTCAGGCCTTGGGGCGTGAGCGTGGATGTCAGGGGTCTCCGTAACTTCCTTCACTGTAGTGTTGAGCGAGAAAGGTCGGCATAGAACGTGAGATCCATTTCTTCGAAGTGGTGTGGGGTCTTCCCCCTAGTGGCTTGTAAGATGACTGCTTTGTCTTGCCCGTTTTGAAATTTAACCAAGAGGTCACTGGTAGCTGGGGCAGTATTGGACTGAGGCTTGGTTAGGCGAAACATGCCATCCAGCTGTATACCCTTTGCTATTTTAGGGGGTAATAATGCCATAAAAAGCCTGCGTAGGAAGTGTGGCATCTCCTCCATGGTGGTGGAGTCAGATATACCTCTGATCTTCAGGTGTTTCCACCTTCTCTTATCCTCCAGAGCTGCTAGCTGGCTGTCAAAGTTCATCTGAGCTGTGGTGAGGTCCCTCACCTGCTTCTGTTGGTCTGAGATTTGGGGGGTATGCTCTTCCACTGTTTGTTCCACTTTGGTTAAGCGGGCAGTGAACCCCCTGACATCCTCCAGGACTTGCGATATGTCTGCAGAGAGGCTCTTTCAGAGTTCAGCCAGAAGGTTAGTGAGGATGGCCATGGTAATTGGGGTTGAGCTGTTTGCTGCCTCCGGAGGTGGAAGCCCAGATCAGCAGAGTTATGCAGGGTGACCTCATCCGAGACGTCGGAGAAGTCATCCAGCACGTCCACCATGTCTGACCCGCACACTCCATGCGGCCTTCTAAAGAGCTCGCTAATGTCAGCTGAGAACCCGGGCTGGTCCGCCCTCTGTTTCTTGTTCGTTCGTCCCATATGCTTGTGGATACCGTCGGCTTTGATTATTGTGATTTGAGCTCACTGCTCAGTTTAAGAGGTAGAGCAGGCACTTGCCTTGCAACTCTACAGCCGGTAGGCAGGTGCCAGCTCTGGCAAGAGAGGTTGCTTGTACACCCTCCTGCCGCCTATCACCTGCGGTGGACAGCGACCTTCCCCACTCCGGCTAAGTATGTTGCTGACCTGCTTTTTCAGAAAGTATGCATGGGACGCAAATTAGTTCTACTTCTTTGAATCTACCAGATGGAACACTTGCTCTGTTTTTAAGGCTGCCATCCTTAATACCAGAGCAAGCAATTAAGTAATACATTTAGCAACATGAAAGCAAACTTCAGGGCAGTGGAGGGGAATAAGACAGGTCCCCACTTAAACCCATTACATTAATACCCAATCCCACTGCCCTGGCTGGACAACATTTAATAGATATGCCTACATCAGCATCTTGTTGGGTGCGGACAAAAGGAAGGATTAAATTCTTACTATAGTTATATAACTGTTATACCGACTCCTGTAGTTTTTATTTATTGGTAGCTGGCTTGCAAGTCAGTTACCACACACCTGAACGATTAAAGGGACACCGTAGGCACTGTATCTGCTTCATCTCATTAAACTGGTTATAGTGTCTGGAGTCCCCTGGTACCATAATTTCTTTCAGCGTTAAACCGTTTTTAATGTTTTTATGTTTTAATGCTAAACAAGAGTCCCAGGCAATCCATCCCCTCTGTGCTGCTTTGGCTAATAAAGAAGTATTAGCCTGAGCAGCAATGGACAGCTGTGATTGGCTGAGAGTGTCAGGTGACTGCTTTTAGCCTGTCAGAGCTCCAACTGACAGTATGAATGGGTATGACAACAAGGAAGTGTGTAATCTCTGCCTTAGCTACACATACAGAAGGGGCCGGACTGTGGGTGGCCAGGGACTCTTATGTTGTGGCATACTGCACGAACATGGTGCAACACTGAGTGGAGGGACAGTGCCAGGGCACTCCAGGCACTATAACCAATTCAAAGAGATACAGTGTCCCTTTAAGGGATTTTAACTATTTGTCCACTGGGTATAGCTGCCAGTGGGAAAATAGCGTGGATTTCTATAGATTTTAGTGCAAAATGCAAGTGAATATATATTTACTGGATTTGACGTTATCAAGGCAAGATTCCGTTGGTATACATTAGATGTTTAGTTAATATGAGAATCCAATTATTTAATATCGTATTTGCATGTGAAAAGTACTGATATCGTTTCAAATCAGACCCTAAATCATACGGACCAAATTGTGCTCATTTAGTTTTCAACCGTATTAAGTTAAAAAAATTAAATAATATCATGTCTGTGGCTATCAGTAGCCACTGTGATACTTATTTGTAATACTTCTTTAATTGGAACTCAACTGCAGAAACAATAAGTTTCACCTCCTTTTATATTGAAGTGAACAAGGTTGACTGGATCTTTAAATACACATGCAGGGAAGAAATGCAATGCTAGTTCCAACTTAATTAAGATGGAATGATTTATGAAAATTATGTTAATGAAGCAGGACAGGCTTGCAATTAGAATAAATTGATATTTGCAGGAAGAATTAGACTTAGTAGCAATCCCTTATTGACAAGAGAGAATTTTAGTGAAATTTAAATACTGTATAAATTAATTAATATGAATTGGTTTCCTTGGCAAAAAGGTTTACTTAACTTAGAGGCAGTTCTGGCAATGGAAGGGTTAATTCACCCAATGGAGGAGAAATTAGGAGTCTCTATTAATAAGCTGAGCGTTAGGAGTGGAGAGTAAGGAAGTCTGTTTTTACTAGCCGAGGTCTGGGAGTAGAGAAGGTAGAAGACCGTTTTTACTAGCCGAGGTCTGGGAGTGGAGAAGGTAGAAGACCGTTTTTACTAGCCGAGGTCTGGGAGTGGAGAAGGTAGAAGTCCGTTTTACAAGCCGAGGTGGAGAAGTGGAGAAGGTAGAAATCTGTTTACAAGCCGAGGTCGGGAGAGGAGTGGAGCCGGTAGCATCAAGTAGAGCAGCTGATCTCAATGCAGCACCTGAGTGAATAATCCAGCCCTTTGGATCTGGCGCGGTCTTCCTAAGTATCGTGGAAGGACCGCGTCAGAGAAAGGGGCGGGGCTAAGCGCCGTGAACCCGGAAGTGGGTTCCGGCGGCAGCATGAATGATAGAGTATACCTGACAGCCACAGACCAAACGTTAGGACAGAGTGCTCCAAAACTTTGTACCTTAATTGGGCTGCGCTATCGTGCATCTCCATAAAGTGTCATGTAATTGGGTTACCTGATGTGTCATTTCAAACAGATGTTTTATGTTGTGATACCCAATCTTTAACCCCTTAAGGACCAAACTTCTGGAATAAAAGAGAATCATGACATGTGTCCTTAAGGGGTTAAAGCCATGTATAGTTTTGCCCAACTAGCCTAAGCTGCAAGTACACTTGAGGAGACATACCTCAAATTCTAGCTGAGATGTAAAGAAAGGAAAGAGTTTACATGGTCTGCTTGTCATTGGGTGGGTTCACACCTCTCACTTAATAATATCATTACTTCGGTTACAGTCAAGGCACGGATAAGTCCCAAACACTTAACAAAGAAAAATGTCTTTGACGAAAGAATATGTGCAAATATAACAGGTGCTCACACAATAAAGTACAAGTGCATAGAGAAATGTGCTTACTTTTAAAATATCATAACTTTAGGGATAAAACATTCCTAGATCGTATCTATTGGGAAATGGAGAGAAAAAAACAAAACAAATACAAAGGCACTTATAGTGTAGTTTTTAATACAATGTGAAATATAAAACCAATAAATAATACAGGCATACATAAGTGCACTGCACAAGATAAATTGTGCAAAAAGAGCATTGCCCCTAAAGGGGCCACTTATCTCTGGGATAATCTAGGCTGTAGGTCCAGGGTATCTCCCAATTCGCTTACACAGGAGATGGCCTCTATTGAAGCAATTCAAAATGTCCCGAATAGCTTGGATCAGCCGTAATTTCATTTGCCAGAATTTTGTCCCGGAACAAAGAGTTCGTTCGCCTGGAGTTCACTTGGAAATTCACTCTGAGTTTTGTCCAAACAGGGAACTTTCTCAAGAGATATATTGACTCCTCTGAGCATTCGCCTATTTTATACCTCTTCTGATTAGTGGTAAATTAAATTCTCAGTCTTCCATTTGATTCGCTAGTTCTGCTTTCAAAACGTATGACGTCATTAAAAAAACTTATTAACATTCCTATAGTGTCAAAAAAATTAGAGTGTATGCGGTCCACCACCAGACCGAGGGGTTGGAGCCCTACTTATTATTTTAAGGATACAAAGAATATGTGGTAAATATTAAAACATAACCTTTAATAATCAAATATTTAAAAAGCTATTGACCTATTTGATGGGCATCATATAAGTTATAAGAATGTTTTAAAATAACCAAACAACAAGAGATGAGGTCCACCTAATATAATTCTAAAGGAAAACCTCTCCGTGTATAAGTACAAAAATGAAATTCTAACTAGACTAATGAGACCCAACCTACTAAGACGTAATTATAAATAGAAAGACTCAACCTATTGCAGGTGGTTACAAGTACACACATAGAAATTAGTTATATCCAAAGTCATAAGACCCAACCTATAGAAAGGAGGTTACAAGTAATTAAGTTAAAGAAAAAGTTAGATAAAATCAAATGGTTATTTTGAAGTTACTAATTATATGTAAACCCAGCCTATAAAAAAAGGGGGTTCGAAATGTTCCAGTTGTGCAGTTATAATGTACACCAGATATTTATTCAAATATAATCCACCCAGCCTAATTACCATCCTTATTTTTGCCACTAGGGTGCAGCCCAGCAGCATCCCATGATCCACTAATCAGTGTAATATGAATAATGACCACAAGGGGGTAGCAGAAGACTGTTTAGTTCTTGCAGACACCACATGGAGTATTGTGATGTAGTACAATTGGTTGTAAAAATCAACCACCAGGGTTCACTATTTCCCCAGAGGTAGTACTAGTATAACTAAAAGATAATTAAAGGAGCACTATAGGGTCAGGAACACAAACATGTTTTCCTGACCCTATAGTGCTAAAACCACTATCTAGCCCCCTTGGGCCCCTTAAAGATAGTATAATTTTATTTGTATTCAAGTCTGAAGCTGCTGCCTCTGCCTTCCTCTGACCGCTGACATCATCAGAAGTGGTAGCCTAATCCAATCACAATGCTTCTCCATAGGATTGGCTGAGACTGACAAAGAGGCAGATCAGGGGCAGAGCCAGCACAATTCAAACACAGCCCTGGCCAATCAGCATCTCCACATAGAGATGAATTGAATCAATGAGGAAAGTTCAGTGTCTGCATGCAGAGGAAGGAGATACTGAATGTTTGGATGCATTTTAGGCAGCCATGACCCAGGAAGGATCTCTAACAGGCATCTAAGGAGTGGCCAGTGAAGTTATCACTAGGCTGCAGTGGCGGATCCAGGGGGGGGCAACGGGGCAATTGCCCCCCCCCCCCCGAGAATACCAACGGTCTCCCTCTCCCTCCCCTGCCAGACCTGCAATGTGCCTGCGGACCGGGGGCACTGTCCTGACAGCCGGCTGGGGAGGGAGAGGGAGTAAGAGGGAGGACCCGGAGCTCAGGATGCAGCTCCTCCGGGCCCTCCTCTCGCGAGATTTGGAGCGTTGCCGTGGTTACCACGGCAACGCTCCAAATCTCGCGAGCGTGAACTCTAGCCCGGGAGCTTTGGCTAGAGTTCACTGTCCCCACTGGGACCACCAATGAATCCCCCACCGGACCACCAGGGAAATGTCCCCCCTCCCCCCAGTAAAGGTAAGAAGGGAGGGGGGACATAGAATATTTATTTAAATTAAATAAAAAAAAATATATAAAAAAAAAAGCCCCCATACCCTTATATCACACACACACACTCTACACACACATACTGCCCCCCATACACACACACACACACACTGCCCCTACACCTACACACACTCCTACACACACACACTGCCCCCATACATACAGCCCCCATACACACACACACTGCCCCCATACACTGCCCCCCATACACCCACACCTGCCCCCATACACACACACTGCCCCCCATGCACACCACATACTGCCCCCATACACGCACCCACACACACTTCCCCCATACACCCACACTGCCCCATATGCACTACCATGCACTGCCCCCATACACCCCCCATACACACACACTGCCCCAGCCACCCACACTGCCCCATACCACACTGCCCACACACACACTGCCCCATACACTTTACACACACTGCCCCATACACCCACACTGCCCCCCACATGCACACACACTGCCCCCATACCATTGCCTGCCCCCCAGCCACACACCTGCTCCCATGCACACACACTGCCCCCATGCTGCCCCATACACACACACTGCCCCCCAGACCCATACTGCCCCCTCATACACACACACTACCCCATACACACACACTGCCCCATACACTGCTGCCCTATACACACACATTGCCCACACTCACACATACACTGCAACTGTTACACACACATACTGTCCCACACATACACTGCATCCCTGACATACACTGCCGCTCTCACACACTGTCCCCCTCACACACACACTGCACCCCTTACACATTGCACCACTCACACACACTACTGCTCCTATGCACTACTACTGCCCCATTTCCCAGCAGACCTCAGGTAAGTTGTCAAACTGTTCTTAAACGGTTTGACTACTTACTCTGAGAGGGGGTCCCGGCACTATAGACACCATAACCACTACACTGAGCTTCACTAAACACAAATATTAGTGTTTTAAAACAGTAAAACATATTACGACAATAATATAGTCCATAAAAGTGCTGTTCGTTTGTAAAAAATGCAAAAAAAGTCACTTTTACATAAAATATCATCGTTGTAATACAATTTACCAGTTTGAAACACTAATATTTGAGTTCAGCGAAGTCTACTGAGTAAAACAGTACCCCCTATGTACAGGTCTTTTGGTGTCTTGGAGAGTTACAGGGTCAAATATAGTGCTTGCAAATTTAATTCTCTGCACTTTCTCCCTGTGTTGTCAGGCATGTCAATCAAATTTTAATTAATCAAATCACATAATTATGTTAAAAGATTACTTAAATATACACGTAGAATTTTAATATATATGCATTCATAGGTATTTAAATTCTACGTGTATACTAATGCAATCTTTTATGTAATTATATGTATTTATCTATATATATATATTTGCGGTTATTTGTATTTTATATATAGATAGATATATATAGAATGCCATTCTAAGTGTATTTTGTTACCAATATATATATATTAATAACAAAATACAGTTATAATGAAATTACATATGAATATATAATCTATATTAAATTTTGTTTCAATATTTTATTTATTTATTTTATTATTTTATTTATTTATTATTGTACTTATACGTATATATATATATATATATATATAATATATGTGTATATATCTATTATATAAATAATATATATACATATTATATATATGTAACGTCATTCTAAGTGTATTTTAATACTAATATATTAATATTAAAATACATTACGTATGACGTTACATATATATATATATATGTATATATATTATATATATAATACATATACATATATTATATATTTATAAATATATTTATTTTATTTTATAACATATTTAATATATTTTTTTTTACTTTCCCACCAGCAGGGGGACTGTCTGACATTTCCCCCTGCTGGCAGATCCACAGCCAGCTCTCTTTGAGAGCGATCACATGGCCGCCGGGGGGTTTCTTTTGCCGTGGGAGGGCTGCCTTGGCTGTGAGGCAGTCCTCCCAAAGCGGAGCGCCGGGTAGGTAAATATCCGGGGCGCTCCAGGGCTGCAAGCCGTTACGGCATTCTATGCCGCCGCAACGGCTTTAAAGCCCAATTAAAGCGGGATGGCATAGAACGCCATAACGACGTTAAGGGGTTAACCGTGTAACTTTCCAGGACACCATAAAACTTGTACATGTGGAGTTCTGTTTTACTCGGGAGACTACACTGAACACAAATATTAGTGTTTCAAAACAGTAAAACATATCACAACGATGATGTCATCAGTGAAAGTGACGTTTTTTGCATTTTTCACACACAAACGGCACTTTCACGGATGATATAATTGTTGTGATACGTTTAACTGTTTTGAAACACTAACATTTGTTTTCAGCCAAGTCTCCCGAGTATAACAGTACCCACCATGTACAGGTTTTTTGGTGTTTCAAAAGTTATGGAGTCAAATATAAGGCTTGATGTTCCGTTTTTTTAACATTGAAACTTGCTTGGAGCCCGTATGGAAGCCCAGGAATAAAAATTACCCCCTTGATGGCATACCATTTGCAAAAGTAGACAACCAAATTATTGCAAATGGGGCATGTTCAGTCTTTTTAGTAGCCACTTAGTCACAACCACTGGCCAAAATTAGTGTTCAAATTAGTGTTAGTGTTCACAACACAAACAAATATGAACGCTAACTTTGGCCAATGTTTGGGTTGTCTTCTTTTGCAAATAGTATGCAATCATGGGGGTAATTTTCATTCCTGGGATACCATATGGTCTCAAAGGCAACATAACCAGTCTGGCAAATTTAACTGTGTATAAACTGAAAAATGTAATATGTTATATTTGGCCCTGTAACTTTCCAAAGCACCATAAAACCTGTACATAGGGGCCACTTTATATTCTGGAGACATTGAATACAAATATGTGCACTCTTGCAGTAACAGCTAACAGTATTATGACATTCACAGTTAAAATGCTATGCAGAACTAAAAGAATAACATTTCTTAAGTTCTCACATTTTTTATTCATAATAAATTATGTTTAATATATAAATATTTGATGTGAAAAAAAGCCTTATTTCTCCTGAACAAAATTATATGTATAATAAATGTAAGTCCATTTAATATGAAAGCGTTTAATTACGTTTGAACTGATATATATCCCAAATTCAAGGTTTTGTTTTGATCTGAACTTGAACAACTGCCTCATTCCTTAAGGGGTTATTCCTAAGGGGTTTGGGAGCAAAATAGGGACTGCCTCTTATAAATAGGGACACCTGGGCGGTATGAGCACGTGTAAGACTCTCTTTTTGACTGACAGAGAACACTGGGCGTTGTAATTTTAAAAACAGCTGACTATCTCAGTTTAGGAGAACTGAGAACGCTAAAGGCCAACGTTTACAAACGTCACAAATGTGCAACGTGTCTTTGCAATAAAGTTTCGTACAGTAACCTGTAACGTGCGGCGGAAGTGACGTCAGAGGGCGCCGGTGTCTGAGAAGGAAAGCATCACGGGAATTGTAGTTTTACAACTACTAGGGGGGGTTGTATTTTTGGCCTTTTGGACACCCTTGACTAATGCTGTTTCCCTTCCAGAGAGCTGCATTTCCTGCCGTGCGGCATTGCTGCTATTGGTGAAACTTCCTGTCAAGTAGCAGGAGGTTGGGATTGTATGGAAAGTGCTGAAATACGGGAAAGAAAAACGTGCAGAACCATGAAGTGCCTTTATACCACTCAGACTGGGTAACTTACAGCGTCACATCGCCGCTTCCTGTCTACTTAGCAAAGTTTGAGACTAATATATAGCACCTCTCAGTGTTTATTCACAACTTATTGATTTATATAGCAAGCTGCCCAGGGGGAAAGTCTGTCAGTACCTGTACAAACCATTATTGCTGACTGCCTCCCATTACACAGCCTCTTGTTATTTTTATTCATTTATTAACTTTGCACATATTCCATAGTGTTTATCTGACTGTACTTGGATATTTTTTATTTTTAGTAATAATGGTTTTTTTTAATGCGTTATGTTGGTGTTGACAGACAAGTAGATTTATTTATAAAATAAAAAATATATATATATATATACACACAAACAAACAATTTTATTGTTTTGGATTACATTTCCGTAAACGATTAATTATTCGAGTGCTAGTGGTTTACACCATTATGGAGTGCAACCCTCTCATTGGCATAAGGTTAGTGTACTGTTGGTGTACCTTTTTTGAGCCAGAGTGCAACTGGAGTCCAACTTATTTATTTCAAAGAGCCAGCTCTAAGATTAAAAATGAAAACCGACGTCAGGCTATGTGTGCTGAGTATTTGTGTGTTTTTTTTATTTTTAATTATTCTATTAAAGGACCACTATAGTGCTAGGAAAAGGGTGCCCCCACCCTCAGGGACCCCCTCCCGCCGGGCTCTGGAGAGAGGAAGGGGTTAAACGTACCTCTTTCTCCAGCGCCGGGCAGGGAGCTTTCCTCCTCCTCTTCGGCTGAATGCGCATGCACGGCAGGAGCTGGCGCGCATTCAGCCAGTCTCATAGGAAAGCATAATGCTATGAAAACTGCTATGTTTATTAAAAAAAAAAAAAGTTAACCCTAGCTGGACCTGGCACCCAGACCACCTCATTAAGCTGCCTATAGTGGTCCTTTAATAAAATAGAACAATCTTTTTCCCTTATTCTGCTTTTTTAAAATTTATTTTCAAGCAAGAGCTTTTATTCCTTGATAGTCCACTGGGGGTTTATTTTAAATCCCTAGTTGTCCAGTGGTCTTAGTAACGATTACACACACAGTTCCACACCATGCTAATCGTTCTTTCTGGTGTGGCGCTCAATGAGAGTCAGAACACATGCTGGGAATCTGGGCAATTGGCTTGACTCCCACACTGAGTGTTGTAACCCCAATGAAGCATTTAGTATAGTCTGTACTAGGCGAAAGTGCAGACTATATGTTTCCACCCCTGCAAAACCAGGACACCATTTTTAATGGGGAAAAGCAGTTTCCTCCGAGCCTGTGTCCAAAGGCAGCCTTCTGTGTCACATTATGTTGGTGCTCTTCCCCAGAGTACCTATGATGTGTCCATTCTCTGGCTAACACAGAGACCTCTGCGTACCTTTTGTGGCACATTTTCATTACATTCACCATGATTGGGTTAAGCAAAGTTGTGTTTTTTTTGTTTTAGAAGTGCCAATAATTTTTTGGATAAGATGTAAACCGTTTTCCATGTAATTAAAATAGCTGTAGACTTTATAAATGTTTTTACATTGTAGCCCAAGCCAGTGTATACAATTAATGAAATTACCATAAGGAAGTCTGACTTGTACAACGGTTATTCAGTAAAGTGTAAACTGCTAGTAACTTAAAGTGATTTTCAAAATTGAGGCCAATATATTATCACTTGATTGAGGCCAATACAACTCACTGTTCAGGTCCCAGTAGTTCTGTTTACTGAATAACCCTTGTTGCATTTTGTGTGCTTTTTATCAATTACATTTTGCTTTATAATAATTTTATGATTCTCGCTCCTCTGTGTAATAATATTTTGTGTTTATTAAGTTAACCACAATTAAGGATATGGTTGTTGTGTGAAAATTGGATTACTAGCCGAGAGTAGGGTGTCCAAAAGCCAGTTTTCATCACTGAAATTTGATTTATCATATGGCTTTGCCAAGTTTAAAGAGAAACTGTCTATTTTCTGGAGTATACATTATTGACTAAAACATGTACTATCCCCTGTATCTTGACGGGGGGGGGGGGGAAATCATGTTTTGTTTTTATATATTTTTTTAAAATTTATAATAAAGGAACACTATATAGCGCTAAAGGGACACTAGTCACCCAGACCACTTCAGCTCAATAAAGTTTTCTGGGTGCCAGGTCCCTCAGGTTTTAACCCTTCAGATGTAAACATAGCAGTTTCAGAGAAACTGCTATGTTTACATAGGGTTAATCCAACCTCTAGTGGCTGTCTTCCTGACAGCCGCTAGAGGCGCTTCTGCAACGCTGGATGTGATATTCGCATCCAGCATGCAGAGTGACCATAGGAAAGCATTGAGAAACGCTTTCCTATTGACTGTTTTAGCGTGCGGCATTTGCCGCGCATGCGCATTCTACTCCACTCGGGAGCTGACGTTGGCGGGGGGAGGAGAGGTCACCAGCGCCGTATTAAGGTAAGTAGCTGAAGGGGTATCCTAAGGGTGGGGGCACCCTTAGGACACTATAGTGTCAGGAAAACGGGTTTGTTTTTCTGACACTATAGTGATCCTTTAAGAATACAGTTTAGGTGGCCAGACCCTGTTGCTTTTTCTTCCCTGCAGCACTGATCTCCAGCGTTCTGCTCCTCCTCTTTGGCTGAGATCGAGCTAAATGATCTCAGCCAATACATTGTTGTCCTTTAGAGACCACCTGATTGAAATAATGTAGCTTTACTCCACTATTTTGTCAAAAATTTCTCCAGTGGCTGTATGACCGCCACAAGAACCAGGTTAACCCTCCAATTAAAATATTGTCGTTCTTCAAGAGCATAATCCACACAAGGAGGAGAATTAAGAGCATTGTTTAATTTCTCCTCTTATCTGAATACTTTCTCTATTCTGGCTGCCAGGTGCAATGGGCATCATTTAGAATACTGCTTAAGGGAGAACTAAGATAGAGGTGCCTAATTGCAGGATAAAGCAGAGTGGATTTCTAAATGTAATATTTTTAACACCTCACAAATATATATGTTAAATATAGAGCTAAGTAAACATAATGTTAAAATTGTTGGGAAGTAACAGTTCCCCCTGTAAATTGCTTCACTGTATGATACTTGGAGAGAATTTGTAACTGATTCTGAACAGCATCCAATTGAAGAGTGTTTGGGTTTTTTGGGGGGGAGGGGGAGATATTTTTCCTACACTGCAATTTTGAAGCAATCTAGTTTTGCTTAGTAATATTCATTCAGTCCTTTCTTAATTTTAACTAGGTTAATAGTGCTGATGTAAGAAATTTCAACAGGAGTTGACCCTAATTACCCAGCTAACTGGACCCTCTGGCTTTGGTTTGGTGTGTAGGAATACTATGCCTGAGTGCCTCTGATAAGTCTAAACATCTATGTTTAATTGGTTTTTGGGGTGGGGTCCTCTTATCTCATCCATCCTGATGCACTTGCACTTATCTTCTTGGTCACATTGTCCTGTAGGAGGCTGCTTCTTTGGTGACTGACTTAGAGATTCTGCTCATTCAAAAAGGAACACGTGCAGACACATCAGTTAGAAAAGGAGACTTCTGAAATGGAGAACTGCGAAAGTCAGGTAAATTTTAAAATCGAATGATTTTATGTATTTGATGATCGGTGCTTGCTGTTTGATAAATTAGACTGGAAAGCTGCATTGCCCATATGAGATGGATATTATTTTATTATCTTGCTCTGTAATTTTTTATTTTATTTTTTCCTGCTCGTAGACCTCTCTAATTTTTATAGTGTGGTTTCTGTAAATTGTACTGGGCTATCTTTTGGAATAAGTCTTTGTAACCTCGTGTGTGAATGTGTGTATATATAGCATTGTTGTAGCATTCAGGTTCTCAATCATCTTAAACCTGTTTAAGCATCATTGCTTCTTTTTAAGTTTAAAATATGATAAGGAAATTGTTTTGTGTGTGTTTTTATCCAGTCCCAAATGAAAGGACTAATCGTTCCTCTGTCTTTTTATTTTTTATTTTTATCCCATAAAGGCTTGTTCAGGGCAAAAAGATGTCATCAGAGTTGGGACAAGGAAAAGCCAGGTAAATGTATTATTTGAAACTATGTTTTCTGCCAAGATAGGCTACAGAGAGTGAGACAGAGGTGATTGGTAGAAATGCAGTATTGATCCAGAGGTGGCTGGATTACCAGATATGAATCCCTGTGCTATAGCGTCCCTGTAATATGAAATATAGTTAAAGTGGCTGATACGTTGAATTTATTTCTGATTTCCCTACAGCTGGCTCGTATTCAGACAGACAGTGTTGTAGAAATGCTGAGTAAGAGATTTCCTGCTGTTCGCTTTGAGATTGGTAAGTGATACATAAAAAGACCAGGGATTGTTTTCTTATTGAATGCTGGCCCCATTCTTTAATAAAGTTTCTTACTGTCCTAGTGAATGATTCCTTTAATCTATGCATATCTGTGCCCATTAAAGGGAAACAGTCACTTCGTAGGATTTTGAAAACTATTTTTCCTTATCCCTCTATTTAACAAATTGTATTTATGAGGTGTGGAAAAATGTAATTAAATGTAGACATCTGCACTCTTATCATACAACTGGGCACGTCCATTTTGGCTCCTTCTTAATCATTGTTATAAATTAATTTTTTAGCACTTGGCAGTACAAATTGAACAATGGTTTCTACTATTGACTTTGCCATGTCTGAACTTGATTATGATTATACTTGCTAAATCTGTCATGTAATGTTTAAATAAAACCGAGCATCTCATGGAAGAAAGGGTTAATAAGAGTTATATTTGTTTTAAATGGTGCAAAACTCTAGAGAAGTGACCGTTCTCTTTTCAGTTGTTTATCTCTTTTCATTATCAACTTTAATTTTTGCATATATGGAATTAGTGTGTTTTAAAAATATATGCACCAATAATAATATTTGCCTTTTTAATAATGTTATTGGTAAACGGCAAGTTGGAAGCACCATTTTGTTAAAAAAAAAACATTTTCTTCATGGTTAGTCAATGAAGAAATGTATCTTTATTGAAGAAGAAAAGTATAATAAAAGTAAATACCTGCATAATTCTCTGGTAATCTTTCCCCTCCTGGCTTTTATAACCATGTTATCGACCTGGTTTAAATGTAAAGGCTAAATATTTTACATATTCTCACACCATATAGGTTAGGTACTACAAAGAATTACACTAATGGGATGTTTTAATAAAGTGAGATAGAGGAATACAAAAATTAGGTTCCACACTTTGTCTTATGAATTGTGTTACGATAGGTATAGTGAAAACTATTAGGGACTTTTGGACAGGTAAATATACAAATATCCTCTCTCCCACCCATCGCCACTGTTTTCCAAAATATCACAGTTTCAGTTTAACTCCATTGTATGTATTTTCATTTATATTTACTTCTTAAACGTAGCACACCAATTTTCTATTGCATGATTGCTCCTTTCTATGCTTGACTCGTTATTACCATGCCAAAGTTCCATCCATTCACATTTTTATTTTGCCTTTTTCTTTAGTTGCCATGGCCACAACAGGAGATAAAATTCTAGACACTGCCCTATCCAAGGTTAGTAGGATTTTGGAACATTGGGTGTACAGGTGGGAAGTAACCCTTTGATTGTAGAGTGAATAATGTTTTTGTTGCACATGTGTTTTGAGATAAAATGAGAGTACTGTTTCCTTTGAATGGTATTAAAATGATAGATATATATATCTTGTGCTTCATGCAGATCGGAGAAAAGAGTTTATTCACCAAGGAATTGGAGCATGCCCTGGAGAGAAATGAGTAAGGAAGGGTAACCGAACTAAAGGGGAGGTGGGAATCAAACTGGCAGTTTTATTGGTGCAATTTTATTTTATCTGTATCAAATTTGAGGCTCTTCTAGCACAGCCTTCCATCTCATATTTGTAAAGCTAGTTCCCTTATTCTATGTGTGCTCATGGCATCATGGATTAAAGATGCCCTGCTTGTGGTAAAGGGAGTGTTGGAAGGATGGCCATACTTATCACCTGTAGGTTATTTGTTTTAAATTTTATGCTCATCTCATCGAGTAAATGCTCAATAATATTTACTGGTTTGCATTAGCATTTAAGTTTAACCTGAAAAGTGGGGATATTTCAACTTTAATGATGGTCTCATCACTTATGTAGCTTTGTGCCACAGCTTTTGAAGAAGGGATGTCATGTCTAGACAACTGTACGATTGTCCAGGCTCCACACAAGGGGAAATTTATCAAGGTAAAATATGCTATTTTGGGTGCGAAGTGCTAAATGTTGAGATACATTATTTTGGTTTCCATGGCAGTTGGTCCTTATTTAGGCCTTTGCACCCATAATACTATCTGCTTTGCCTTGATAAATCTTCCCCCCCAAGATATCAGAATATTGTGGGAAATTGCTTTCACACATCAACTTGCTTTATATCTTAAAGGTACACTCTGGGTCAGGGTTGACTTGCGCATTATGCAAAAACAACAAATTAAAAATAAGACCTGTATGGGATTTCTTCATGCTGCTACAGATCTCCATTGTGTGAGCACCCACTCAGCCAGTAATGGTACACACTTTTCTATTACACTGCTAAGCTTCTCTTACAAGCAATGGTGTAGGGCCACAGCAAGAGTTTAAGCAAGTTGTAGTTTATTAGCCATCTTTCTTGTGTTGAAAGGTAAAAGCTGAAGCTTAAAGCATGATGTCATACACAGCAGTATTTTGTTTGATTATTCTATTTCTGTACATTCAAGAATGTGTCTTACATTCATCTTCCGTCTTATTTATTTTTATTTTTGAGAATACAATATTCACATGAGAACATTGACAAAGCACACTAGTTGTTTATATACAACAATGAACTCAAATAAGTGGTATGAAAATTTATTTTGAGGGTTAAAAAAGGGTGAGCAAATTAAATTTCTTTACACAATATACATTAATAAAAACACCAACACAGAATATTTAAATGTAACCTGCTCAACACAGCCTGTTAAACCTGTTTTGGGTTTATTTTCATAAGACACCCTACATTTTAAAGCTTGGAGCCAGCAACTGTTTTTTGTTTGTAAATGATTTCCCTTTTATCGGTGACTTCTACCTTTAAAAAAGGATCGATATTACATCATCCCACCTAACAACATTTATTCTTTTTAGGGTTGATCTAGTTGTGCACTCGTTGAAAGATTTACCAACATCGCTGCCTCCTGGATTTACAATAGGAGCTGTGTGCAAGTGAGTATACAAATAACTGCTAACTACCTTTTTTGTTCTTCATAGAACACTTATGTATAATTTTCCAACTAAAGCTTATTTGACCAAACCTTTTGGATCTTTCTATTCCCTTCTCAGACGAGAAAACCCTTATGATGCTGTTGTCTTCCATCCTAAATACCATGGGATATCTTTGGACATGTTACCTGAAAAAAGGTAAAAAAAAAATCAAACAAATTACATTTTTCTTTTGAATGCCAATTATATTACTTTGCTGTAGGATGGCTGCAAATGCTCTTGCACATCCTATATTTATCTTCTTTGCCATGATGCTGCTGGCACAGCATAATGGACCAAGGAGAACAGAAAATATAAAGGCAAATTATTTTTCTGTCTATGCAAATGCTAGTTAGCTGGATTGCACAGTATGTGGATCAGAATGTATTTCCTACAACACGACACCTTTATATTTTGAAGTATTAATGCATTTTTAGATAGAGCTTCTTTTAGTTCTTGGCCTTTGATCCCTCCTACGTACAGTGACCAATAGTAATTGATGGTTGATGCCATTAGCTTCTCTCATGATTTTAAATAAATTCTATATCAAAGCACATAAAGAGCATAGTCATTTAATAGTGCAGAGTGATCTTGGTGGATATCAGATATCTGTAAGAATCCTCAGTATTGATATGTTTTGTTTGCAAACACAATAAAAAATATTTAAATTTGTATTTTTTTTTTTTTTTTTTAAACTGTCAAGGAGCATTAAAGGGGCACTATAGTCACCAGAACCACTACAGGTTAATGTAGTGGTTCTGTCATCTATAGCATCTTCCTTCAGGCTTTTCAATAATAAACACATTGGATGTTATTACATCGCTGCCTCTTGTGGTTCTCACTCAGACGGCCACTAGAGGTGCTGCACAGTGTGTGTGTGTGTGTGCGCGTTGGCAGCAATGGTAGTCAGCGTCTCCACATTCTGCATGGAGGCGCCGAATGCTCCCCATAGAGATGCTGATTGGCGTAGTGTGGCTGTTTGTTGCACAAGGAGAAAAGGTAAGTAAAGCTCACCATTTTTATGCACTTAAAGTGGGGCTTGGGATCTAAACACCGAACAGGTAAGTTTATAGTATTTTACATTCTGTTCCCAGTTTTCCATATGTTGGTGGTCACATTGCTTGTGTGTCGTTTTGCTCACGGTGCCTAGATGGGTATCTGCTACACCTCGCTGACGAGGCCCAAAAGAACGTCAAAACGATCATCTGGGGTTGCTGTATCTCTTGCAGAAATAACTTGCTGCCATTTCATTTTAAACTGCCGTTATGGGTGAGATCAGTCTGATATGCTTCAGGATATGTTCTCTTTGTAATGGCATAAGTCAGCAAAAAAATATTTTGAGACCTGAGCGTGGATTTACCAAAGGGAAAGCTACTGAGTTTCTCTAAGTGTTTGTCCGTTCTCTGAGGTCTCATATTCTCAGTTTTGTTGCAATAAAACACACAATGGCAGGTCCACATAAGGTAGACTAAAAAAAAACCAATTGCTTCAAGGAAACAAATATTTAACTCAACGTAGTTGTTCAGCATGTGAGTGACAAAATGCACAAGGAAGTGTTTACTTGCCACAAAGTAAACCTTTTGCAACACACATCTTCCTCAAAGCCTTGTGTTTCAATTGAGACTGCCAATCTGTAAACACAAACTGACAGATCTGGAAAGATTGTATGTAGAGGAATTGTCTTCTTTCTAATGTGTCACTTTATTATAAAAACAGAGGAAATTGCTTAATGAATTTTTTTTTTATTTTTATTTTATTTATTTTTTTATGTGCAAGGGCACATGTTTATGAGAAATTTGGTTTATCCCCTTGAATTTTGAGTCAAATGTAATCCATGTGTTAGAAAATAAAGCTTGGCTCATTACCTATGACTAGGTTACATTTTCTTTCTGCTAATACTTATAAATACAAGTACATTTAGCAGAAACTCTATACAACCTGTTGAGCAGGGTATTTTAGATCAATTGTACATCTCATCTGTCCTACATGGCAGTATGCAAAGTATTTATATGCTGGCATCACAGCGCAAATGTGAAATTGTATACATTTGTGTTTTCTGTGTGTTTATTATTATTATTATTATTATTATTATTATTATTATTATTATTATTATATTTTTATTTTTATTTTTTTTCTTTGTCTTGTTTTGTTTTTTGTTTTCTCCCTTGCTGGGATTTTTTTTTTTTTTATTAATCTTCTTACAGTGCATTTAAGATACATAACTTCAAAGTCCCCTTAAATGCACTGTTTAACGCTTATGTCTGCAGCTGGCAGGCGCCTTCTTCATCAGAAGGAAACTCTTATCCCTCAAAATGCTGCATAGAGGGATTTATCCCCAAGAGCAGTCCCTCTCATCACAGAGAATGAGTGAACCTGCTAAGTAAGCCAGGGCTCAAAATTTCCACCCACCACTTGTCATTGGCAAGTGCACTTTTGGTGAGTAGAAGTTCACACCTACTGAGTATCCCAGGGACTCTCTCTCTAGGCTTGCAGTGACACATAATATTTAGGGCCTAGCTAGTAGACTTGGAGTTGAGAATTTTAAGTCCTGCTCTAAACTGTTGCCAAGCAATGTGCAGCCATTCTCAGAACCTGGTTGGCAGTTCTGAGAGACAGTCGTAGTCAGTAACTCTTACAAATCTTTTTTGCAAAGTTGCTTTGGTGCTGAGATCAATGTTTGTTTTAAAGGTAAAGTATTTTAATGAATAACCTATATAATGTTTTAAATTATATGTTTATGAAATGTGCACATTATTGTTGCATTACAAATATCTCTTGTATGTTAGCCAGACAGCCACTAGAGACACTTCCCTATTGAAGACTTTAAATTATTTTAAATTTCTGGATTTGGTGTTGTTAAACACTGTTAATGCTCCTTATAGAGAACCATTGATTTTAAACGGATGCATTGAAGCATTAGTTACTCTGCATTCATCATAAGCCCCCTGTGCTTCTTGGTAAATCATTGAATTGGCCTGAGATCATCTGTAAGGATGATCTCAGAGGTGGAGGAGCAGTTGTCACAGAGACTGCCCTGGATAAAAGATGAGTTTAATTTTTTTTTTTTGGGGGGGGAAGGGACCGAACACTCCTAGCATTAGAAATATATTGATAACATTGGTGTGTTTCTTTAATGCGCATGTGTGACTGGCTTTTATTCATTGGGCATTGATGCACATGCAATGTAGTGAGCCAACAAAACAAATGTGAGTGGTTGGGGAGTAGTGAAGGTAATTAGATTTTATTTTTCCTCTTACTCTTATGCTTTGCACTACTGCTTTATAAGTCATCTAAAGTAATTGCAGTTTGTTGTATTCCTTATGGGCTTTACTGACCATGATATCAATTGTTTTTTTTTTTTTCTTTGCTCAGTATAATTGGAACCAGCTCCCTCCGCAGAGCAGCTCAATTGAAGAAAATGTTTCCACAACTGGAATTCAAGGATATTGTATCCTTTTTAACAATTTCTGTACCAAAATACTACAATTTCATGTTCTATTTGTAATTATCTCAAAACATGGGAAACCTTTTTTGAAAGCATGATCAAACAAGTTTAAATATGAGCACACAGCAACCCTGAGCAGTTTGCGATAACTTAATATAGTGTACATAAATTTAAGGGACACTCTAAGCGCCGAATCAATTTTAGCATAATAAAGTGTTTTGGTGTATAGATCATGCCCATGTAGTCAAACTTCTCAATTCTGTCATTTAGGAGTTAAATCACTTTGTTTGTGCAGACCATTTACATGGCAGTTGTGACTGTGCACCAAATGTCATAGCTATGATCTGTACATGATGAGACGCATGCACAAATTGGACAAAAGTCATATTTTCCAGCTAGAATTAAGCATTGTGGAACTTTGCTTAAAGCTTTAAAAGTTGTTACACATTTCCTCCACACTCAGCAGGTTTCTCTGTGTAACCTTGCCATTATGTCAGGTTGTCAAAGTGCTTAGACCAAGCGTCTCAAACTCTGGCCCTCCAGATGTTGTTGAACTTCAACTACCACGATTCTCCGTCCATGTATTGCATTCAAAGAATTTTGGGAGTTGTTAGTCATCAACATCTGGGGGCCAAAGATTGAGATCCTTGACTTAAGTCAAGCATGTCAAACTCAAAGTCTAGCAAGGGCCAAATAAAAAAGGTTTAAGTTTATGTGGGCCGCAAAAAACAAACAAAAGAAATTAACATTTTCATAGAAATGTAGGATTTTGAAAAGTACAGTTTAAAAAAAACAAAAAACAGCATCCCCCTCTACTAAATCCCAGTTCCCCACCCAGCACGCCACCCCCTAGTCAACAAGCACTCTACTCACATTGCCGATGCCAGTATGCGACTCCGGAGTCCGGCCTCTGGTATACCCCAAATTACGCCGTCCGCACCCTGTGCCAAAGCAGATCCTCCCGCTACTTCTTGAAACCCTGTGAAGGTGGAGCACATCAACGTCACGTTGGAATGTGACGTGGCATTGCGGGCTTCTGTGCACCTCCAGGTCCTCCACTGTCCAGCCGCGTACATCGCAAAACTGACACACACACACACACACACACACACACTCACACTCACACTCACATCATTGTATTTATTCCTGGGGTCCAGTGGGGATCTTCTATCTGGAACTCGGCCTTCCTGCTCCTCACTGCTCTCTTGTGCGCAGCTTAGTGGTGCCAGAATATGACACATCCCAGCACCCGGCATCACTACAGACGGCGAGGGAGCAGTGAGGAGCTCGCCGGGCCGCGAGTTTGACATGCTTGCTTTAAGTGATGAAGCGTTTTTTTTTTTTTTAATGCTTTTTGTTAATTCCTTAATGTAGCTTGGATATCTGCCTTTTTTATTTTTTTTTTTATTTTTTTTTTTTTAGGTCCCAAAGGCTTTCTTAAGGCTTTTTACATTTAATTAATCTTTCATTTTAGAACATTCTTTCCTCATCCTTTAAATCTACCATAACACTGGACTTACTTTGTGTAGTAGCTGATGTAATACAATAGCATAAAGGAGGGCCTATTCACAAAGGATTAAACTGTACGAGCATGTTCAAGTCATAAAATTCATAAACATGAAACTGGTCAATCTTGAGACAAAAATTCACCTCGGACGCTCTATACAATTCCTAAATGCATTGACAAGGTGTTAAACTCTAAAACCTGGATGGCAACTCCATCAAGATGGTATACCCCCTTGAAATCATTGGCAACTAATCACTGTAACCTTCTGAATTTGCCAAGCATTTTAGTCTTGTTTTCGAGAGTAAGAGAGACGTTTGCTGTGATCTCTTGTAACATTCTCTCATTGTTGTGACATGCAAGGAAATCTTGAAATGATCTCTTCCACCAAAGATAACTCCAAATTCTCTTTTGGGCCTGTGTAGCTAGTTAGGGGCAATCTCTCAGATTTTGTTTGACCACTGGTCCTTTTGATTTGTTATTGTGGCTTTGTTGAAGTTTCTGCTACATTTCACCTTAACTAACCCTACTGTCCAGAGAGGTAACTTGAACACACGATTGAAAAAGTTGGATGAGCAACAGGATTTCAGTGCCATTATCTTAGCTACTGCTGGACTAAGTCGTATGGGGTGGGAAAACCGTATTGGCCAGGTAAGGCGGAGAACATGTAGTCCTCAAAGAATAAAAAGGTGTGTGTGTGTGTGTGTGTTTGTTTATTTCCTAGGTACAGTTTTTGACCTTGTTTGATAGAAAAAGTTTGCCATGTCAGTAAAGAGGCTTAGTAGTCCTAGTTTTAGATTAACAAGTGTTCTGTGCATACTACAACAGTTCAGTTTCCTGGAACTGATATGTTTGAAAAACATTATTTTTTATTTTATTTATTTTTTCACGGTGAATGCGAGATTCATTACTTGCAATTTTTGTCCCTTGAATTTTATTTAGATTTTGTATATTTTCCTCTGTTTCTTGCTGCTTTCAGCTGTAGCAAACTATACTAGTTTGGAATACTAAGGAGAAATATGTGTACTAAAATTTACAGGCCATTTTGAAACCGAATGTGTATATTTGCCAACCACAGTCATGTATATTTTATTTTTATCTCTTTAATTAGTTTTTCTTCATATTTTTGACGTATACCTGGCTTATGTATTTTACCTGGTGCTTCTTGTTTCTAGCCTAGGTATTCTTGTCATCATAACACTATCCATGTATTTTATCAATCTGTCAGGAGAGTGAGAGTTGCACATTTTTGAAATTCTGATAAAACGCTTACTATTCTCTCTTGTTAGTATTTTGAGGTGAACAAACAATATAGGCCTGAATACTTATAGTTGTCTTTATAATATCTTCTAATTGATTAAATTTTCCTGCTTCTCCATAGATTCTGAGTCCAGATATTTGTATGTATGCTGTGGGTCAGGTAAGCAGCTAAAGTTAACATTTACGATATACCATCTCTTGCGTGTTTCTCTACAGAACAACTGGAGAACTTTGTAACTTTTCGTATAACATATTATCTATGTTTTCTTGCTGCACTGCATTAATCAAATGCTGCTCTAGGAGAAGAGAGTAGAATAATGGTGCACCCGTCCATGACGTCCTATCTGTATTCTGCTACATCCTCCGAGTATATCCAGTGTAGATACTATACCCAGACATTTGTGGAGACGCAGAGTCCACAAAATGGCATGCTCTCAAAGCCTTTGTCTCCTTGGAGATGAACGAAAATTGCTCATTACGGCATATTATTTTGAAAAGTAGATATTCCCAACCATTTCACATGTGGTAATTTTGAGTCTTTTTTTGTGCCCACTTTAAGCATGTTTTGTCAAAAGTGAAAAACTGTCATTAGAGTGGAGCTGCTGTGATAGGTTCACGTTAGGCATTAACCTTTCTTTATGTATTCAATATCCTTTTATTATAACAGTAAGTTATTATACCAGAACACCCGGTAACCCAACCGGTTACCTCCGCTTGCTCCCTTCCTTCAGCTGTTCAGGAACCATTTAGCAGGCGCAGCGACCCAGTTCTCCCCCAGTGACTAGCTCTCATAGTCCTTTATAAGGACTTTCCCTTGCTGAATCCCCTGCAAGCTGGAACAGTAGACACAGGGGTTAAATCTTCCTTGCCTCCAGTAAACAGACGACACACAGTTCTGGAGGTTTAAGCACTGACTGACTATCTTTATTGAACAACTGGCTTCTTTTATGCACAGACGCCCGCAGAGTGTGTCCATTCAATACAATACAATCCCAGGCAGGAGGGGTCGGGTTACAGATAGCCATCTCCCGCTCAGGGCGATACTAATAATACACAGGGAAATACATTCAAACACATTACATACAGGGGGGTACACTTTGGGGCTCAGTCACATGGATAAAACCTATATCCCTAGATAGCCCCAGTTCCCATCTGGGATCCCTGCAAATAGCGGGGCTATCAGATGTACAGAGCCCGAGAAATCCACGTCTAAAGACTGGGGCTCGAGGCTCTGTACATCCCCGAAATTAGTTCCATGGAGTTGCTTGGTTTAGTCCGGTGAATTCAAACTTCGCACTTAAACCAAACAACAACCAATCAGCTGAAAGGGCGTGAACCAAATTGCAGCAATCAGTGCTCGGGGGAGGAGAGGAGTTTTGCCGCCCAATCCGGAGAAAGGGAGCGAAACCCCGTTTGAAAGAGCACTCCTTCTCTGATTGGTCGCCTGCGCCCCGCAGCGACCAATCGTCGCCCAATGTTCACGCCGACCCATCAGGAGAAAGGCACGAACCCAGTCTGAATGGGTGTGCCCTCTCCCACTGCTTCGTGCGGACTTCCATGCGGCCGTGAGACCGACTCGGTTCCAGAGATTCCCTGCTGGCGCGTGTCCCTCTCTCTCCGGTGGATATCCTCACGCAGGTATCCACCGGAGAATGTGCTCTCCTGGGCAGCTACAATCCTAGCCTCATAGCTCCCAGGTAGGGGGGAAATGTAGACACTGATTATAGCTCCGTTGGGAGTGGGTAGGACGATTCCCGACACTGGGACCGGAGACAGGGTGCATATGCCGGCTCGGGATATGAATGCTCTCCCTGTTGGACACTTGTTATACAAATTGGCACCACCCAAGGAAAGCACGAGCCGTTTGTTTCCCTTGCAGTCTGTGGTCTTCACACCTCGTTACGAGTTGTGAACGTTCTAAGTAGACATTCTAAATGAGGTGTAGGTGTGGTCCCAATTCAGGAGCCCAACAGAGCATGTTCGTATGAGCTCTCCCGAACGGGGAGCAGGTAAAACACATGAACAAAACATAGATACGTGGGGAAACTCAGAGTACAAGGGAAAATCGTGAGCATAAACATTGGGAACACCAAATACAAGGCAAAAACTATACGAACACTCAGTGGGCATGATACTTAGTGGCGGTGGCCCGCCACAGTTATGTATTTGCTTAAGGAGATGTTAAAGGGAAACTATAGTGCCAGGGAAAACAAACCTTGTTTTTCTGGCACTATAGCTCCCCTCTCTGTGGTGCAGAAGGGGTTAAAAAAAACAAAACCCCTTCTCACTTACCTGGACCCAACGCTGATGTCCCTGCTGGCTAGGGTCCGCCTTTGCTCCTCCCACTCTGACGTCAGCCGTCGGAGACTTGATGCGCATGCGCGGCTTTGGCTGCACTCGCATTAGGATTTTCCCAGAGGAAAGCCATATACAATTACACATGGATGATATGAGAGCCACTCTAATTAGTGGTTATTGTGCTTTTTATGAAGCAAGGGACATTGGGTTATAGCCTCTTATCTGTACAATTCGCATCAATGTCAGAGGAACACGCAGCTGATTTGTAAGGTTATTCCCCCAGAATGTGCGTTCCCAGCACTTAACCCAGACACAATTCATACTTAAAGGACCACTATAGTGCCAGGAAAACAAACTCGTTTTCGTGGCTCTATAGGGTCCTTGGGTCCCCCTCACCCTTAAGGCCCCCCTCCCGCCGGGCTCTAGGGTGAGGAAGGGGTTAATCCCTTACTTTTTTCCCAGCGCCGGGGACTCTCCTCCTCCTTTTCCCCGTCATCGGCTGAATGCGCATGCGCGGCAAGAGCCGCACGCGCATTGTCAGTCCAAAGGAATGCTTTCCTATGGACGCTGGCTTCTTCTCACTGTGAAAATCACAGTGAGAAGTGCAGAAGCGCCTCTAGCGGCTGTCAATGAGACCGCCACTAGAGGTTGGATTAACCCTAATGTAAACATAGCAGGTTTTCTGAAACTGTTATGTTTTATAGAAAAAAGGGTTAACCCTAGCTGGACCTGGCACCCAGACCACTTCATTAAGCTGAAGTGGTCTGGGTGCCTATAGTGGTCCTTTCAGTGAGCTTGATAATGCTGCACATGCAATCATATATGGCACTGGCTTGTAAGATAGACTTATGGCTATATTTCCTTCAAACATTTACACAAGTGCCTATGCCAATTTTGCAGAACTAACTTGTGTGTAGTTCTCTGCAGAGATCAAGGTTTTATCTTTGCTTTGTATCTGATGACAGGGGGCACTAGCTGTGGAAGTTCGAGCCAAAGACGAAGACATTCTGCGTATGGTGTCTGCTTTGCAGGATCCCCAGACTGTTTTGCGTTGCATAGCCGAAAGAGCATTCATGAAAAGACTGGTAAGCACAAGTATAGGACTGTATTCTAGATACACTAATAGTGGGCCAAGATTTGTTTTTATTTAGTGGGGGCAGAACAGCGTGAGCACCATTTTAAAATGTATTTTTTTTTTTTTTGTTTATTTTTTTGTTTTGTTTTTTTGCTTGTCCCGAACTTATTGTTATTTTTTTATTTACAGGAGGGTGGTTGCAGTGTGCCAGTAGCCGTTCACACAGTAATTGATGAATCTCAGGTATTTTATGCACGTCACAAGTGTTATGCTTGTGGTACAAAATTTAAAAATGTATGTGTAGAAAATGTGTTCTCATTCTTTATTTATTTTTAATTTTTTATTTTTTATTTTTTTTTGCACAGGTTTGTGCTGCTGTGCTGAGCATTGTTCCGTCAAATGCTTATCATAGTCAAGCATTGAGCACTAAACATAATCTAAGATATTCTGAGTGCTTACTCAAAAAAACAGTTTAGTGACTATATCCCAGACACCTTTGAAATGATAAAAAAATGGTATTAAAGAAAACAAAAAATCACTTTTGATAATAGTTCAGTCTTCTGAGTCCTCAAACATGAGGCTGTTGGCAGGACCAGTGCATTACCCCTGCAATTAGCAGAGTTTTTAAATACTTCTCTGAGTATGTTCATAAGTCCTGCTGCAAATAGTAAAAAGATGAGGTTCTGACACTGAATGTAAGATGGTGTCGAAATAGATCTATCTTCTCGGGAAATGTGTAGGGAGGCTGTGTGAGTCACAGCCAGGGAATGTGTGGCTAGGGCTGGATAAATAGTAATTTAATTCATAAATGGCAGAGAATTTAGCAAGTCGAAATTGCAGAGGCTTAATCTATGCACCAAAATCACTTAAGCTGAAGTGGTTTGGGGGCCTAAGACTGACCCTTAAATTTACACTGTGTAGGCATAAAAACCACTTCATTTCAATGAAGTGGTCTGCATGCCATGCCCCCCTTGTTTTAACCCTGCAAGTGGAAACAGTAATATTTAAATTGAAGGGTTTAAATGCCTCTAATGGCTGTTATCCTGACAGCCACTAGAGGCAATTCCTCTGAAATAGCGGAGTGAATCTCTTTCATTCAGATGGCCTCATAGAGACCATCTGATTGGTTGAATGTGGAGTTTTGACGCGCATGCACACTAGTCTTCCAATGATTTCCTATTGGAAAGCATTGGATTGTCTGAGGTCACCAAGTAAGTAAGGACACTATAATGTTAAGTGTATTCTTAACACTGTAGTGTTCCTTTAATATTGCTATTTTTTTTTTTTTTGGCACTATAGGATTCCTTTAATGGATCACTATACGGTCAGGAACACAAACATTTATTCCTGACCCTATAGTGTTAACACCACCATCTAGACCCCCATGGCCCCTCATGCCTCCATAAATATAGTACAAATCTTACTGTATTCAAGCCTGAAGCTGTAAATCTGCATGCTGTTAGACTCAGAAAAACAAGCAGTCTGCTGACATGTGGTAGCCTGATCCAATCACAGTGCTTCCCCATAGGATTGGCTGAGACTGACAAAGAGGCAGATCAGGGGCAGAGCCAGCATGATTCAAACACAGCCCTGGCCACCTCATAGAGATGAATTGAATCAATGAATCTCTATAAGGAAAGTTCAGTGTCTGCATGCAGAGGGAGGAGCAGGCCCGTCGCTACCGGGCAGGCAAACCAAGCAATTGCTTGGGGCCCCAAGCAGAGCCGGTGCTGCACCTCAGGCGGCTACACCACTCCTCTCTCGTCCCCTTCCCTGTAGCGTGGCCGAGCTCTTCTTCCTACTGGCTGTCAGTCCGGCCAGGTACCGTGCGGTACAGGAGATTCAGTTTCCTGTTCCCGGCTGGACTGACAGGAAGTGCACACTGAGTGCTCACTTCCTTTCAGTACGGCCGAGAACAGGAAAATGAATATCCTGTTACCGCGCGGTACCCGGTTGGACTGACAGCCAGGAGGAAGAGGAGCTCGGCCACGCTACAGGGAAGGGGAGGTGAGAACTAAGAAGAACATAGGGAGAGGGGGGGGTGGGAGGGGAGTAAAAACACACAGGGGGAGGGGAGTAAGGAGGGGAGGGGAGTAAGGAGGACACAGGGGGAGGGGAGTAAGGAGGACACAGGGGGAGGGGAGTAAGGAGGACACAGGGGGAGGGGAGTAAGGAGGACACAGGGGGAGGGGAGTAAGGAGGACACAGGGGGAGGGGAGTAAGGAGGACACAGGGGGAGGGGAGTAAGGAGGACACAGGGGGAGCAGTTCTAGATAATTTGCACGTTTGTGAGAACTTAAAAATGTTAATGTGATTGTGTGTGTTTTAAATATGTTGGATTTAGTTATTGTGCACCTTTTTAATGTATATTTGATTTTATGGTACAGTAGTGTTTTTTGCAAATGTTCAATTGTTGAAAATGTTCAAAATGTATGCACATTATATGCAACAGCAGTATTTGCACTGTAAACCTTTTTTATTTATATAAAGTGTGGGTGAACTTAAACTGTATGGCTATGCTGTGGTTCCTGTAGGCTTTGCGTGCATGTGGGAGGGGGGGCCTCCATGTCCATTTTGCTTGGGCCCCCAAATTCCTTCAAACGGCCCTGGGGAGGAGACTCTGAATCACAGGCTGCTGTGCACAGTGCTGCCCTGTGCTCTGCTGACAGCAGATCTGAGTGGATGGAGGCAAATTATGCCTCCATCAACTCCGAAGTCCCTCTGGAGTGACTGCAACTAGAGGTGTTCCTAGCTTTCAATGTAAACACTGTATTTTCTCAGAAAAGCAGGGAGCTATAGTTCTCACCTGAATAACCTCATTAAGCTGAAGTGGTTCAGGTGACTATAGTGTCCCTTTAAGCCATAGCAGCAGTTTGAAAACTATAACTCTTTTCTTTTTTTCCTGTGGAATAAACCCTTTTGTTTGTATTAACCCTCCATGGAACTCCTAACAAGGTTTATATTTCTTTCAGTTTTTTAAATTTTTTTTTTTTTTTTGGTCTTTGTTTTTGAAATTTTTTTGTTTATTCATCTGATTTGTTCAGATTGTTCTTTTAGTCTTTAGATGTATTTACTTTTTTTTTTTTTTTTTCTTCTAGTTGTACCTTTCTGGTGCTGTCTATAGTCTGGATGGATCGGATTGCCTGAAAGAGACAATGCAAACCTGTATGCTTTTTACACAGGAGGTAAGCATCTTTAAATACAAGAAACCAAAAGCAAACTCCTTTTTAGCATTGCAAGCACCTTGACCATTACAGCTATTGTAGCAGTTATGGAGATTTAAAAATGTAATTGAAAACTGATCGTTCAGCTACCACTCATTTTCAGTTTTTTGTTTCTGGCACCCAAGCATCATACCCATCACCTCTTTGATTTAATATGGAGTTGTCCAGCTCTCACATTGAGCAATACAAGTGTTTGTTTGACTTTAATTACTCAAGGAGGATGTGTGGACAGTCTTGTTTACATGAGAGCTGCGCTGTACGAGTGCATGATGTTCCACGCCTAACTTGGTGTAAGCCCTATTTCCAAATCCAAGTACAATGCTACTAGATACTGGAAATATGTGATAAATGTTTCTTTGATAGTGGAAAAAGCATGTAATTTTTTTTATTTTTTTTATATCTTTTAATGGTTTAAGACATTAAAAGGCTCTTTTGTAAACGTAAATTTTTAATGGGGGAAAAAGTTTTACCCATATGATGTATTTAAATGACTAAGGGAAAAAAAACTTACACATGTGGTTTTCTGTATTCTTTTCTTAGGGTGTGGAAGGTCCAAATGATGACACACAGCATGTGGGGATAACAGCATTAGGGGTCCCCAGAAATGCTTTGAATGCTGCGGAACGTTTAGGAACTGAACTAGCAGATCTGTTACTAAGTCAAGGGGCCAGAGAGATCCTGGTGGTGGCCCGTCAGTTAAATGATTCAAGATAATGGGAAATACAGAGAAGAAAGAAAATCCAACCAATATCTATTTAATTTACCAGCATAGTCCATCTTTGTATGCTGTCTAATGTCCAATCAATCTGTAATACCTGGACATTTGTAGAGTTGTGTAAATGTGGAGTATATGCACTGCTCACACCAAATCCAAATGTAACTTTTTTGTTTTGTTAGCAGACTTTGACTTATTACATGAACCAGGAGTTCTATTTGTTAAAAAAAAAAAAAAAATATTATGCAAAACGTCACAACATTACACTGGACTCACTAACCACAAAATTCTGCTTTTTCGATTTGTTAAAATGATGTAAATTATAATGTATTGATCAGGGTTATCACCTTGAGATAACACTAGTGCAGAGATAAAGAAAAGATTTAAATAGTATATTTTATATCATGATAACGAATAAAAAAAAAAAATATATATATTTTTGTGTGTTTAATCTAGTTCCACAATCCACTTCTACAATTAATCTCTTAACTGACATAAGATATCATGTTAAAATTTGCCCGGTGTTATGCAACTGATTAAGAATTGTTGTTTGTAATGATGCCACTCCTGCAGTAAACAAAGGTTGCATTCACATGCACTTAATATGCCACATTCAGGAACATTAAAAAGAGATAGTGTGGGAATGTAATGACGACCGTATTTCCGGTCTTTGATTTTCATGTAGAAGAGTCTGGTAAGGAAGAAAAATGTCACAATATCAATTCATCATTTTATTTCTAAAAATAACACTAAATTCTTTAACCTTTAGAGTGCTAACCATGTGGGATAAATGGCTGGCTTTTTAAAAAATAATATTGGCTGATGTTTGCTGGGATGGACCTGGCCCCTTGTGTTTGGAAGAACATACCTGGCACTGCAAGGCCATGTTCCCAGAATGTAACTCTTCCTTACAAGCTTGCTTGCCATTTTGGAGGGTTATGGTACCTTTTTGCCTATGGTGGTCTGATAGAGTGGTAGTAACATGAATTTGTGTCCCTTGTGAATACAATTCCTCTGCTAGCCCTGTTTCTTCCCGAGAAGGCACATAGGTCCTCACATGCTTTTATCCCAGTGCCTTTATTCTGTAATAAGAGCGTAAAAAGTGATAAATACTCCTGATTGGCACAAATTTCCTGCTATAATTTGTGTCAGGGATCTGGTTGTGCCAGTGTGGGGCCATCATGTTGCAGATGTAATTATACTGGTGCCCTGATTTATTATGTGTTCCCTCATGTAATGTAGTGGTGATATCTGAGAAATCAGATTTTGGAACACAAGTCTCTGAAAACCCTCTGGAGGATAATATATTGAAGGAGAGTTTGTTCCTTCATAGTGAATTTGTGGAAAACAAGGATGCAAGGGAATCTGCAATTCACCAAATGTTGTATCCATTTACTCTTCTATCGCCACCAGAGGCAGATAACTTATCAGACCCATCTTGCATCCAGCAGCAACTTCACCTTTCCATCGCTCAATTTTATTTACAGATATTCTCATTTCTCCTCTCAGAGGTACCAGTTTATCTCCAGTCTCTTAATTAACCCCTTCTTGCTGAGATGTGTATTTACCATTACCATGATATAAACCCATACTCTGTAATTGTGTATACATAATTTTTTTAACATAGCAAATTAAATTTATTTTTTGCAAACTAATTTAGTTTGCTGCTCAGGACCTCAGTATGAGTCATATTGCAGAGCTGGTGCTACCAATACAGTGCTGGCTCTTTTAGGACCTGCACGGGCTCATGGGAAGAACTGAATATCTCCATGAGTGGCCCTGCTCTGCTTCCCTGATTGAAGAAGCAATAGGTCTGCACTTTAAGGGAGTGCAGAGCTCTGTCAATGTTCCCTTCCAGTCACCAGAGACATCATCACAATAAAACACCATTGTGTCAAAAATGTTTAAACCTTAAGGTGAGTGGATCATTAAATTTGTTTTTTAAAAAAAAAAATAAAACACACACTTAAAGGTGCTAATATACAGTGTCTTGCAAAAGTATTCACCCCACTTGACTTTTTACCTATTTTGTTACATAACAGCCTTAAGTTCAATGTTTTATTAAAGGGAAACTCCAGTGCCAGGAAAACAATCCGTCACATGATCTGTCATTACATGTACACACTTTTTTTTATTTTTATTTTTTAAAAAGCCCCAGAGGCTGCAACACCTAAGCAAGAGGCACCACTAACCAAACACTGCCAAGAAGACCAAGGAACTCTCCAAACAAGTAAGGGACAATGTTGGGAAGTACAAGTCAGGGTTAGGTTATAAAAAAAAAATAAAAAAAAAAATATCCAAATCTTTGATGATCCCCAGGAGCACCATCAAATCTATCATAACCAAATGGAAAGAACACGGCACAACAGCAAACCTGCCAAGAGACGGTCGCCCACCAAAACTCACGGACCGGGCAAGGAGGGCATTAATCAGTAAGGCAGCACAGAGACCTAAGGTAACCCTGGAGGAGCTGCGGAATTCCACAGCAGAGACTGGAGTATCTGTACATAGGACAACAATAAGCCGTACGCTCCGTAGAGTTGGGCTTTACGGCAGAGTGGCCAGAAGAAAGCCATTACTTTCAGCAAAAAACAAAATGGCACATTTTGAGTTTGCGGAAAGGCATGTGGGAGACTCCCAAAATGTATGGAGAAAGGTGCTCTGGTCTGATGAGACTAAAATGTAATTTTTCGGCCATCAAAGAAAACGCTGTCTGGCGCAAACCCAACACATCACATAACCCAAAGAACACCATCCCCACATCGAAACATGGTGGTGGTAGCATCATGCTGTGGGGATGTTTTTCAGCAGCCGGGACTGGGAAACTGATCAGAGTTGAGGGAAAGATGCATGGTGCTAAATACAGGGATATTCTTGAGCAAAACCTGTACCATTCTGTGCGTGATTTGAGGCTAGGACAGAGGTTCACCTTCAGGCCGGACAATGACCCCAAACACACTGCTTAGGCAGCACTTGAATGGTTTAAGGGGAAACATGTAAATGTGTTGGAATGGCCTAGTCAAAGCCCAGACTTCAACCCAATAGAAAATCTGTGGTCAGACTTAAAGATTACTGTTCACAAGCGTAAACCATCCAACTTGAAGGAGCTGGAGCAGTTTTGCAAGGAGGTAAGATGTGGCAAGCTCATAGAGAATTATCCAAAGTCACTTGGAGCTGTGATTGCTGCAAAAGGTGGCTCTACAAAGTATTGACTTTAGGGGGGGTTGGGGGTGAATAGTTATGCACCTTGACTTTTTCTGTTATTTTGTCCTATTTGTTGTTTGCTTCACAATAAAAATTTTTTTTTTTAAAAACATCTTCAAATTTGTGGGCATGTTCTGTAAATTAAATGATGCAAATCCTCAAACAATCCATGTTAATTCCAGGTTGTGAGGCAACAAATATACACTATATAATAAATTCAAAAGTTAACAAGTAACTGGAATCCACCATCCGGTTCCTATCCTATTATTGGAGCCAATACCACTTGTCTCAGTGGCGTGGTTTGTGCCAGACTGAGTCTTTGCATATGTTGCCTCCAGAACAAAAGTGCATAAAAAAACGAATCCTCCTGGTATGGTGTCAAAATCATAGGTGAATAATCCCAGTACTGAAGGTATTCAAGATAGGTAACGTGACCATAGCAGGCCCGGGAAATAGTTTAAGTGCTCAGGTAAAGCGGTAAGTGCAATAGTTGCTCCCCAGTAATAATGCAAGACTGTAGCGGTAATTCTCAACAGCTGGTTTCTATGTGTCTGCAGGAATGAAAATGACTTTAGAGTCTTGATAAAGTCCCATGGGACAAAACACGTAGACACAAATAAAACAAGTAAAAGCGGTCAGCTGACTGAGGAAACTCATATGGAGCATGCAACAGGACTTTTTTTTTCTGTAGAAGTGCATATATTTTATTTGGTTAATTATGCTTCGCATTTTGATTATGTTGTTCAAATAAAGTGTACTTGGCACCATTTAAGTCCTCTGAAGGATTCTTCATTGGGGTTGTGCCATTCTTTTTAGGCTCCAGTACATGTGAGTGATTCAAATTATTACTTATATATATATATATTCTGCAGTTACATCAACTTAAATATATATTTGACTGTTATGTAGTGTGGATTCTGTTCTCCACTTTGTATTAATCATGTGTTAATCATGTGTTTGCACATATAGCATGTCAGAAAATGTTTGCTTTATATTGGAGTTTTCCTCCTTCTAATGGGTTAATCTTGGCAGAAGTACTGTATTTTTCAGAATATAGGATGCAGCTTTTTTTTCACCCGAAAATTTTGAGTAAAAAACTGACTGCACCCTATGTCTCCTCCCCTCCCTGGTGCAGTGCTCCACCTCTTGCCAGTCACACTATGTAGCATGGTCGTGTGGACCGTGATAGGGGATCTTCTGTGTCCCTTTACCTAATCTGCCAGGATGTGCTCACCGAGAACAACTAACCGCTTCCTGACAGACCAGGTAGAGCAGGCATAGGCAACCTTTGGCACTCCAGATGTTTTGGACTACACCTCCCATGATACTTTGCCAGCATTATGGGTGTAAGAGCATTATGGGGGCTGTAGTCCACAAAATCTGGAGTGCCAAAGGTTGCCTATCCCTGAGGTAGAGGATACAGATGATCTTCTACTGTGGTCTGCAAGGCTGTGCTACATAGGGAGGTAAGGAGCTACACGTAACAGGTTGGAGGGAGAAAGAGATACATACAGAGGGTGGGGAAATGGTGAAAGAGAAACATGAGTGGCTGGGAAAGGACACACAGATGGACAGGGTGGAAGAGACAAACAAAAGGAGCTGGGAGGAGTAAAAGACACACAAGATACACAAAGAGGGGTGGGGTGAATATGTGGGTTTTACCTGTGTGTGTGATTTTTATAACAATAGGTCACCATAGGCTAATATTTGCTCTGCTATCATGAGCAGTCAAAATATGTTAAAATGCATTTGAAGCAAATATGAGTTCCTTCCTTTCCATTAAACTTGGGTTTGG